AAGGTCATGGTGACCTCCACTAGTCAATGCTAACCAACCGTGACCTTGACATTGACTCCAAACTTCCCATCGATATAAGGGCCTTTGCGTTGTCACGTACAACCGTGTAATCGAAACCACGCCAGTTGACTCAATGACAGGCTTTATGATACAGCACGCTAACAATTCGGTGGTATGGCTATACAATAATATATGTATTGCGTATTTGCGTAAATAATAAATATCAATTATTACCCAAAACCCTCATTAGGTGCCCACCGCTGTTTTGTTTTATCGTAGTCATACGTTATACTATAACCAACGATATAAAATACTATACCCCCCACCCTCTGCCACAAACACGCCACCACCACCCAATAGTAGATATTGCTATATTCTATAGCCAATGTAAATAAATATTACCCCCCACCCCCACAAACACACACACCACCAACCCAGATATTTACTATATTCTATAGCCAACGTTAATAAATATTATACCCCTCCCCCAATCTCGTTGTAAACTGCAGTTGTGTTCTATCGTAGTGATTACGTTATTCTATAACCAACGTTAATTATACCCCTTCCCATTTACTAGTCATCTGGCTGGCCTACACGAATTTGAGGATAAAATTGTTTAAAATGTATAAATCTGCCCCCAACCCACTGTCTCGTGGTTGACTATAGTGTTAATTCTATCGGATTGTATACACCTCATAACTATTGTAATAATACATATTGAGCTTTTCTTTAATAAAAACATATCCAATTATTCTAAAAATACACTAAACCTCGGAAATGTTTCCAAAAATCAAACTATTCTAAATGAAACACATCTATCTATTCTATGAAACACATCTAGCAATTCTAAATGAAACACATTTAACTATGAAAGACACCTAACTATTCTAAATGAAAAAAACCTAACTATTTTAAATGAAACACCTAACTATTTTAAATGAAACACATCTAACTATTCTAAATGAAATTCGTCTATAAGCAATTCTAAATGAAACACGCCTAACTATTCTAAATGAAACACGTTTAACTATTTTAAATGAAACACGTCTACGTGTATAAGCAATTCTAAATAAAACACGTCTAGAAGCATTTTTAAATGAAACACATCTAACTATTCTAAATGAAACACATCTAACTATTCTAAATGAAACACATCTATAAGCAATTCTAAATGAACACGTCTATAAGCAATTCTAAATGAAACACATCTAACTATTCTAAATGAAAGCCACCTAACTATTCTAAGTGAAACACATCTAACAATTATAAATGAAACACCTCTAAGTATGCTACAAATGAGGTTTAAAAAACTGAAACACATTGAATCTAAAGAACTATCATTAAATAAACATCGTTAAGCTCAATCGATCCTAACCAGTAGTCAAGATACAAGAACAGACTATGAAATTTTACACTGGGTATACATCCGTGGCGATCTGATGCCAGAATGCATGGAACGGATGATCAGTGAAGCGCTGATGCCACATAAATTCCGCCATGTATTCTGATATCAGATCGCGATTGGTTGGACCATGCATGGCCTTGATCTTACTCTTGGCCCTCTGCCACATGGCCTCAACATGGTTAGTGGTGGTTTGGGTCACTGGGTCTACAAAGTTCTGTGTATGGTTAACGGTTCTGTGGACATATCCCAAGTTACCCAGGTTGTTGTAGGCCCCCCACATATCCGAGTGGATAATAGAACCGGGTAGAATCCACTGTTGTATAATTGGCACCAGTGTTGCTGCGTCTCTTTGGGGGACTGGTATCAAAAACCCATGTTTTTGTACTGGATCATAGCCCCCAAAGATCCACTGTTCCCTAACAACTCGGCCAACGTGGTTCTTTCGCCTGGCAAATAAACTTTCGTCAATTTCCACTATTTGCCCAGGCCCGCCGAGTTGTTGAGGGTTATTCGTGAAATATGTGACGCATATATCACGACAAAACTGATGCCAATCCACAACAGTGTGCTCTGACCCAATGCTCAACTCTTTCATAGTCTGTTCTATTGTCAGGCCACGAGAAGATGCACAACTCTGGGTCCACAAGTATGTGAGACCCAAAATTTGCCATATCTCAAGGTGGGATTTGTCCAAAAAGCTCCCTAGCCTTATACTGTATCTCCTCCTGCAGCCTGGACAACGCCAACATACACCATCAACTGCTCTGCCAAATAACCCTTCATTGCACTGAAGTTGGCAATTTGGACAGGCATGTTGAACAGCAAGAAGTCCGTTTTGCCTACAGAAGGCAATAGCGGCAGGTGTATTTTGGAAAAATCTTCTCCCAATCTGAATCAAATTCATCGCATCGAAATCAGCTTGATTCGGAATATTTGCGTTAACGGCAGCCATAATGACCCTATGCTCTATTTCCGAGAACTGACGACGACTCACGGGCGTCGGGCCTATTTATAGAGTAACGCCAGGTGACAGGTGAATAATAAGGGCGATAAATCTTTTCCAAACATATTTGGCCATTTTCCCAAATGTTCCCATTTATCAAACAAAAGAAGGTGGTGTGCATGATAGCTTGTGATATGTGAATTTGTGCAATATTATTTTTATTTGAGAAAAGTACAGAGAAAAAGAAATTCAGCAGATTAAATCTTTAAGGGAAGTAACTCGTGTTTAACATATTACGACTAAGGGAAGTAACTCCTGTTTAACATATTAGGCTTAAGACAAGTAATTCTCTACAGTTTTACTTTAATGTTAAATCGATGAAATTTCTTGGCCTTTAACATTTTTCTAGTAACATTCGTATGATCTTAATGCTTTTAAACACAAAGGCCCCGCTATGTCACAGACATCTAAAAAAATATTGTGACCTGTCCGCCTGGTCAAAGGCATCTTGAAGCAGTGGCGTCATTTTGACGGGATATGTAATTCTAAACCCACCAGAATGTCAACCAAAATGTCATGCAACTGGTGTGGGGTTTGGGAGTATATAGGTTCACTACAATCGTATCATGAGGTCAGATGAATCAATTACATTGACCGCGCCCATTGACTTCCTTTCGAACACAGACCCTCTTCGTTTGATCGTTTTCTGACCGAGCAGTGTGCGACAGGACCAAGGTAAACGTCGATGGCTGAAGCCCAGATGATGGCCGTTTAAAATAGTTAGGGGGTCAAGGTCGTAAGTCAAGGTCAAATGTCCCAAAAATGACTTTGAAAAGTTTGAGTTTATTTTTCTGTAACATGACCTTGACCTACGACTTTGACCCAATTATATTTTCTGAAGGACGTCGTCTCTGCTTTCACCTCGAACATTAACTTTGATAATACAGTAAGAAATAAGGTCACGGCAAGCATAAACGCAAAGGGCCCGAGATGGATGGGAAGTTTGGACTCAAGGTCAAAATCAAGGTCACGGATGGTTAACGGTGACTAATGGAGGTCACCACGACCTTTCACATTGACCACGCCCATTGACTTCCTTTCGGACACGGGCCCTTTGCGTTTGACCCTTTTCTGACCGAACAGTGTGCGACAGGACCAAAGTAAACGTCGATGGTTCAAGCCAAGTTGATAGCCTTCGAAAATGGTTACGGGGTCAAGGTCGTAAGTCAAGATCAAATGTCCCAAAAATGACTTTGAAAAGTTTGAGTTTAGTTTTCTGTAAGATGACCTTGACCTACGACTTTGACCCAATTATCTTTTCTGGAGGACGTCGTCTCTGCTTTAACCTCAAACATTAACTTTGATAATACAGTTAGAAATAAGGCCACGGCAAGCATAAACGCAAAGGCCCCGATATGGATGGGACGTTTGGACTCAAGGTCAGAGTCATGGTTACGGATGGTTAACGGTGACTAGTGGAGGTCACCACGACCTTTCACATTGACCACGCCCATTGACTTCCTTTCGGACACGGACCCTCTGCGTTTGACCGTTTTCTGACCGAGCAGTGTGCGACAGGACCAAGGTAAACGTTCATGTTTCAAGCCAATGTGATAGCCTTCGAAAATGGTTACGGGGTCAAGGTCGTAAGTCAAGGTCAAATGTCCCAAAAATGACTTTGAAAAGTTTGAGTTTAGTTTTCTGTAAGATGACCTTGACCTACGACTTTGACCCAATTATCTTTTCTGAAAGACGTCATCTCTGCTTTCACCTCGAACATTAACTTTGATAATACAGTAAGAAATAAGGCCACGGCAAGCATAAACGCAAAGGCCCCGATATGGGTGGGAAGTTTGGCCTCAAGGTCAAAATCAAGGTCACGGCAATATTTACACCTAACGGCCAATCCACTGATCAACACCAAATAGTATTTTATAGAAAATGGTGGCTTCGCGCAAAAATTAAAGTATACGAAAATTATATTAATTTTTATGAACTGCAGTGTTAGGCAGCTGGTGCAGTGTGTCGGTTTCCGTCTAAGTGTCTTGTTATTTGAGTCGGTTTCCGTCTTAGTGTCTTGTTATTCGAGTCTACATAGTAAACAAAGCAAATGGCGTCAAACGGATGAAGCTCTCTCTCGTTAGAAATTAAAAGGTCGGTAAAATAAAAAGTTATTGATCAATTCGGCTGAAATTTGGTGTGTGGTCATTGCTAGTCCCCCTGAACATCCTCTGAAAATTTCAAGTTCCTACGACCACGGGAACTGGTAGAGGTACGAAAGTGCAATAGCGCCGGGAAAAGCACACGACCGTTACACTTTTCAGTTTCTCATAAAATGTTGTTTTACAATTTTTTTATGTAGCTGAGCAGGATGGGGTTTTTGCCCCCCCCCCCCACACCCCTGTATCCGCCCCTGGTCATGGTCACATGTAGTATTAAGTTGTATGTTGATCAATAATTGTGCCTCTTTGCATGCCACTGTGACTGAAATTAACTGTATTCTAACTGCTGCTATTCAATGACAAGTAATAAAGTCAATCAAAATCAAAAGACTGACCTTAGTCGCCTTAGACTTAGACAAACGTCTAGAGAAACATTTTAAGTCAATTAATTCATGTACAGCAAATTCAATTTGATTTCACTATTCATTACCTGAATTGGCATATTGAGGACAGAGGTGGTTGACAAAGGACGACTTCTACAAGGTCCGCTACCGGCAATCGTTAAACTTTTACTTAATAAGCTCCTTATCGCCTGCATGGTGAATGGATTACCGCTAGATGGCGTTACATTAATAACACCGGGAGGAACATGTATAATCAGTATGTAAATAAATAATCTTTGACAAAGTTTAGTTTAATGGTGGCCTGTCAGTTTCAGAGTATATTTGATAATGTTTTAGCAAATGATAACAACTTGATATCAAATATTGAAGAGGAATAGCGCTTATCCTGGAAGTACAGAGATGCTGTGGTATGAAGGATATTACTTGACTTATTCACCTTCGGGGCACCTTTGACGACTGTCCTTAACTCTGATGTTTGAAGAGTTCTACATTTAATGTAGAGTTGCCTCCCATGTTAGCAACCTCAAACCATAGCATAGACTATTACTGCCATAGAAATGAAATGAAATGAAATGGGGTTTAATGTCCTACTGTTCTGCTCCTAACCTGGGCTAATGAAGACGGGCATACGCCATACAGTGTGCTATGAGGGAAATTTTGCCCGTGCCTACGGCCTACTCTTATATCGAATTCAAACTGCCAAGGGATCTTTTACGTGCACGCCAATGTGTACACGGGACCTCGGTTTTTCGTCCCATCCGAACGACTAGACAACTGTCCTTGTCAGGCCCTCCGTCCTGCATCACTGACAAGGGGGAAACCACGCCGGAAAATCGTGATGAACTTTCTCGGCTAGCGAGCCAGCGTCTTACCCACTTAGCCACGTGATCCCCCCCATAGCATAGAGTATATTTAAATCTATGCCTCAAATTCAAAAATGAAATGGGTTAAACGCCATTATTTTCTGACCCAACCGGGCTTATGAACGTACACCATGCAGTGTGCTATGACGGACATTTTGCCCGGGCAGCAGTTGAATAAGATGTGGGTACATTCAACTATTAATAAGCAGTCCAAGGCTACGCAGAAGGGAGACAACTCTTACACCGATTTCTCCATCAATAAGCAGACACATTATACAGGTCAGTATCTATTTCTAGAAACAGCAGGTCATTGTTATCAACTAAGCCTATTTCAGTATTTGCTGGATGCTAATTTTATTCAAAACAGGCGAGTAGAAAGTGAGAATTCACTAATTTCACTTGACTTATCATTTTTAATAGGCCTATGACAATGCCTACTTACAAATTACAATCACTAAATATCTGTTCATTCTAGAAATACAATCTAGATAAACAAAATTACAAGGGTTTGACTTGATAATGAAGTTAATCCATCAACTTTTTCATGCATGGAGGCCATTTTGAATTTTTTTAAAATTTTGATCATAAAAAGCTGTGATGGGGCAGACCATAGAATAGATAATATTAACCGTGAAGACTGAACCACTGTCAATGAACATGGTGTAGGCCTAGCGGTCAGTATGTTGAATTGAACCACTGAAATGAAGGGATCTGGGTATACGCCATCCTTATGTTATCTCGTTTTTCTTTTGGAACTGGTCACCAAGCTTGTAAGTGCTTCTCTTTGGAAAAAAGTCCAAGACTGTGCCAATTTATAGTACGATTGACACGGAATTCTGCCTGCTTGTTTCTTGGAAATATGTATCGATTGACAGACTTTTGATGCGATGCTACCTAACATGGCTATACTATGACCTTATGTGAGTTTCTGGTCCATAGTATGGTAGTAGTAGTAGTAGTAGTAGTACATGTTTGGATCTTCAAATGGTAGCCTACCATAGAGTCTTGTCTATAATTTATAAATCACATATTTTGTATTTTCAGAACGACAATAAATCAGAGATAAATAAACCCTCATATCTCAGTCTCACATGACCGCCTCCTCGTCGACCAATTTCCTTTTTTGAAAGACACACCCAATGAGTTTACTTACTTGGAGATTCTGCCCCTAGCCATCCCTTTATTCCGTAATTCTTTTGGGCCACAATTAGAAAAATAATTATTTTCATTGATAGGCCTATTATATATTTAAATTAAACAAATTTAAATAAAACATTTCTATTCTATATATCTTTATTAAAGTCCAATATTAAGTGCAGTGCAGTGCATGCAATACAAAACCGATAAAACAAACCTGTCGACAAATATAGAAAAAAAATAAACAACAAATACAGCCATTGATTCTATACAAGAGTGGTTCTACCTAAAGTTAATTACAGCCACAGGTCATCAAGACAAACCTCACTGCCTGATATTGATATTCATAGGGCCCTTTTACCTACTTGTGGTATTGTGCAAGAGGAGGAGTATGCTGATGCTAGAACAGTCACTATGCTGAATGGCAGATGTCAATAGAACTGATCTCATCTACTTGCATGGCGGAAGAGGGAAGGCAGGGTATGCTGATGCTAGAAGAACACCCAATTCAACTTACCACATATTTAGCAATGCACATAGGTTACTAACAACAGACGCTGTACTTTTTCATTTTGACCAAAACAAAATCTAATATTTAATTTTTGTCTACATTATAACAATTTTATACCGGTACTTTTTTTTCAAAAGTGCCAAAGCTATTCTCCCAAAATAATTAAAATAATTGTACATTTGAAACAAAACAAGTGGCTATCTCCGCAAAGTATCTCTCACAAAATTTGTACTGTTAGTGTTTATAATAGATAGAAGCACTAATAAAATAGGTCTGTTCCAGCCTCCGGACAATCGTAAATGTGTCTTGGGTAAGTTGCCATATATAGTACAGTTATACAGGTTACTACACAGGGTTAAAATTTAAACATCTGAATAAAATCTAACATAAAAAAGTAATATACTCATGTCCAAAAGAAAGTATAGACTGTGCATTTTGTGCTTTCGTTTTTCCATGGTATACGGTATTTGGGTAGAATGTCAATTTGTTTCACATTTTTATTTTGCTTAGAAATGTTGAGTTTGGACGCAAGAGACAAACTCAGTAATGCTTTATCAAATGTTTTTAATCTAAACAAAACTTAGTCATACTTTAAGTGTGTATACTTTCTTTTGGACATCAGTATATATAGGCTACATCTGAATAAAATCTAACATAAAAAAATAATAGCCTAATAAAAAGAAAAATCAACCCTAATAATATATAATTATAATTGAAAATATAAATTTAACACTGAAGAAATTATTAATTCAATACAAATCACAACATAAAATATGCAATATATGTTTGAAATCAGGGAAGTTATCACTGTATGAAGTTTTGACATAGATTGTTTATTATTGTAGCAGTGTTACTTGTTAATCCAGATTCTGCCTCGCTTCTCCATATTTAATTTAAAATGTTAAATGGCAATTACATTTTAATCCATCTGCATCACCCGATGCTCTAGAGAGTTGGTTGAGGCCTGTTGTGTGAATTAATGTCTAAATAATAATTTTTATAACATTTGAAGCCAAAATAAAAACATGTAATAGGCAGATTTAGCTATTACATAATGCATCTTTAAGGAGAGGTATATTTTTAAGGAAAGGTTATTATTAAGGAGAGATATATTATTAAGCAAAGGTTATTATAAAGGAGAGGTATCTTATTAAGAAAAGAAAAGGTATTTTATTATTATTATGAAAAAAAAATACCAAACAATAATAATGACTGTGTTTTCAAACTAATTGAAATGTCCCCAAAGAAATGGAATTATAAGGTAAAAAAATTTAATTTAAAGTTATTAAAATTATAGCTCATATACTAATGACATCCTCCTTTATAATTAGCTCACAGGTTGATTGGGTTTTCTAAAATATTCTGTCCACACAGGAAGAAATTGTTTGAATTTAATGAATTTTTTCCCTTTGTAAGCAAAATCATTATGTAAATGTTGTTTTTTTTGTATCAAACCTTCATAATATTCATCATATTTCAAAAACTTCCATATAATGAATTGAAAAGAAATGGGTTTTAATTAATGTCCTACTTTTTCGCACCGACTGGGCTAATGAAAACAGGCATATGCCATGCAGTATGCTATAAGAAATTATGCGTAGACAACAGTGCTATGGCCTACTCTTATATGAATTATACCAACTGTCAAGGGTTCTTAAATTTAGATGCAAGGTGCACACCAACTTGTATATATGGGACCTCAGGTTTTTGTCTGATCCCAACAACAAGACAACACCCCATGCCACAAAACATTTGCAATTCAAATAAAATTGTACATTTTTAATTTTTGATGGGACTGATTTGTATAGTTTATACTATAAAACACACTTCTAAAAAGAGCATCTAGGTGGGGTTATACCTCAAAAATAAAAACATGCAAAAACAAAAGACATGTAAGATTAACCTAAATACAGATAAATTTCTTTTGTATGTAAATATATGCTGTTTATATAGTTAGATTAGCTACTTGGTAAGACCGATACATCAATTTAGATTATTATTGGACTACTCTAGTTAGTATTTTGTATTATGACGCCTCGAGTGTGGAGTGCCTTTTTCACTTCATTTAAATAATCTGGGTCCGGGTATCCATTACTGAAAATATAAACAGAAAACTATATGAACACATTGTATACACATACTTACAATGTATTCTAGTGTCTCTCGGTTTTACGGTGTAAGAAGGAACAAAAAGCTCAAAATACACAAACATAATGACAAATCTATCTGAACCATGGCACACTGTATGATGTATGCCTCTCTTCATTAACCCAGTCGGTGCAGAATAGTAGGACGTTAAACCACATTTCATTTTATCTCACAAATATTATTTGTAAATCACACAAGATGATTAGGTTAGTAGAGATCGATTCGGCAATTTGGACAATTCTAGCCAATCCAGTATGAAGGTATCAGATTGACCTCAATTATTTTTTTACAGATGGTAGAGACGATGGCCAAAGGGATGGTTTCTTTATAGACTTCTGTTTGCAGACATGATCCAATGGATAAGTATAAATATTTATATTCTGATATATGCCAACTGACAAGGAGTGTGAGGGCATATTGTGTTAAAGATAATCTAAAAAAGAAGTTTTTGTAAGTAAAATATAAGATAGTCCTACTTTTCAGGTCCACCATCTTGTCTTGTTTTATGTGGTATGTTACTCCATGTTACAAACTCTCTACCAGATGATGACGTCACATCTGGACTCACAGTAAATATCAATCTTTTATCAAACGCTAGTTTTAATAATTTTAAGATTTCTCTACCCTCCATATTATCAGGTAAATAGGCTGTCTCTGTTTTACCTTTAAACGGGTAGCCAGGTCTTGGGTGGTTCGCCTGTAATAAAACCAAAAAAATTGTTTTAGAAGAAGAAATAAAAACACCCATGATCTGTGTCAAAACAAAGAAATGAAACTGAAAGACAAACATGACCACCGACATACATTATTACAAACGAGCAAATTGTAAACAAATATTGATAGCATTCAGTCATTGAGTTAAAATCAAAATCTGGTTCTGTTTTTCCACCACTTCATGTAGTATATTTTGTGTCTCATTTTACTAAATCGAAAGTACTAAAATTTATTCAAACAGAATGCCCACCCAATAAGTTTCCTCTTAGAAAAATCAGCTAAAAATTGCTATAAATCTGAACTGAGTAGACAGTGGAGAATGCGATTGGAGATTCTTCACAAATTCCAGTATGTAACATATACTTACCGACTGAATACCATCGTTGAAGGAATAAATTATCTCTATGGTGTCACAATGAGAAAAACCTTCAAGATGAGCGTGTAAAATATGGTGTTCCATTTTACCATCAGGTTGGTTTCCTTTTTGTATTTCACCATAAGCATTACTACGACAAATCGGACAGACAGGGTTCTGTGCAATTGCTGCATCTACACACGGTTCACAAAAGGTATGTCCACATGGCAGAGTTTTAAAGACAGACATTTCCTCTAAACATATGGAACAATTTATATCTGATTTTTTAATAATTCCACCAAGTTGTTTTATGTAATATTCATAGTTACTGTGAAGCTTCTTTATTTTGTCTTCAGATTCAGCAACTAAATGTATCTCTTTTAATGTGGATGGTTTGGCTGTTTTAAACAGGTTTACTATAGAGGTGAACAGAACATCAGCATCAATGTTTCCAATATCTTTAAAACAAAATAAAATTTACGCAAGTCAAAACATGATAAAACAAGCCAACAGTGAGGCTGATGTCCCCCGCTGAAATCCCGAAATAAATAGATGACATATATTAATTAATTGCATGTTTATCTTTTTCAAAAGTATCCAGCAATCAAACTGATTATTAAGTATACATTAAGTTTCATCACTCTCTATCAGATAGAATCAAAATAAACAAGGCATTGACCTAATAAACACATACACCAAGTTTGAACATTCTAGCTCAATTAAAAGTTATCGTGTCCCAAAGCATCAACCAATCAAATTGCTTATCTCTGCTTACCCTAAGCGGAAAATGCTCATCTTCGAACTCCATCAAGGCATTGACCTAATCAACACATACACCAAGTTTGAACATTCTAGCCCAATTAGGAAGAGAGTTATCGTGTCCCAAAGCATCAACCAATCAAATTGCTTATCTCTGCTTACCCTAAGCGGAAAATGCTCATCTTCGAACTCCATCAAGGCATTGACCTAATAAACACATACACCAAGTTTGAACATTCTAGCTCAATTAGGAAGAGAGTTATTGTGTCCCAAAAAGTGTGACGGACAGACAGACGGACAGACAGACAGACGGACGAACCCATTTTAATAGTCCCCTGCTTTCTTCGAAAGGCGGGGGGACAACAACACTTTTAGTATCATGGAATGAAATAAAATTAGGTTTAACAATAACATCCTACTTTTACACACCGACTGCCTTCTTTTAAGGTCATACAGATTGCTCCGAGTTGAAATTTCTCACGGACAGGGGAGCCACAGCCTAGGCTTCTTTGTTTCACTGGACCTCGATTTGTCCATTCCATCTGCACCAATGACAAAGGGAAATCCCAACAGAAAATCCTGAGGAAATGTCTCTTGGTTAACGAGTCAGCATCTTACTTATTGAGCCATCTATTAGTATAATGAACATAAAGAATGCTTGTATAATTAGTGTAATAACAAGGGCGGGCACTCAGTGCTCACACACACTTACACACACCCCTTCAAAGTCCGCCCGGCATTTCCAGGCTTCTAATCTTCAAACATTTTCCGAGGGAGACCACCTGGACTTCCTGTTTGTAAACTTTGCACTTTTGGCGCTTCGAACGTTCGGCTTCTCCGTCCTTGCGTGTGCCCTCTCCCATGCATAGTCTCTGGATCCATCCTTAAATAAAATACTTGCAGTCGCCAGATGAAATAAAAAGATTGGTAACCAGACAAAGAATCATACAATGTAAGGAAACAGTAAATTATGAAGTAAACGCTTTTACTGTACCTATTGTAACTGATGTATCTGTTGTCATACTGATCTCTTTTACTAGATTATCCATTAAAACATCTAGGTCTCTCCTGTCTGGTTTAAGTGATGAAATAAGATGGTAAATATGTTGGTATGGTAAACATCCTGCTGATGTAGTCAATACAGACCCAGCTTTAAAATCACCGTCACTTTTCAACTTTGATCTTTCTTCTTTGTAAACATCCCCAGCTGCGTTGATTATCTTTTTAGCAGAAGCCTTAAAATTAGTCATTGCTGTATCTTCCCAAGTTGTGATCGAATCTGTATTAGTTAATAAAACAGCTGCTTGGTAGATATGTAGAGTAATAATAGACTGTAAGCTACAGGTTATATAGGGTTTATTGTCTACTTCTTTTGTTACAGCAATCATTGAAAATTCTGGTGGTTTATTGTCAGTTATCTCCTCTCCTGATTGCTGTTCAGCAGCCTTACAAGTAATCCCCTTAATAAACCTTTCAATTTCTTCTTTAATCAAATCATCATCATCTCCTTGAGTAAAAAACATGTCAAAACCAGTCTGAACCATTGAAACCATTCCATCTATGACATCAACAAAGTAGATTTCTCTTAAATTGGACACAGGATAAACTGCATCAAAACTTTTCACTGCTTTTGCATACATGTGGGCACAGATATTTTTAGGTACTCCAAAAATAGCTGTAAAACAAAAAGATCTTACATAATATACCTGTATCAATTTACAGCTACAGACTGATTAAAAATTACTTCTGAAGAATTTCGTTTTAGAACAAGAGAAACATTCATCCATCAGGATCTGGTGAAATAAAACCGATTATTAAAGACGACAGTGAGAAGTTGTTTGTATAGACAGAGGTCAATCATTTAGAACATTCTAATTTATCACTGATGGATTTTTGCAAAATATTGTACTTAAGTAAGAAAATATTTGACTGCAAAATATTGTACTTAAGTAAGAAAATATTTGACTGCAAAATATTGTATTTAAGTAAGAAAATATTTGACTGCTTTCCTGGAAATTTTTTATATAAGATATTTTAAGTACCATCTTTTCCCCCCAGTTCTCCAGGCTATTAAGACACCTGATGATACTATCCCCTTATCCTGAATTCTTAGGTGCAAACCTGTTACACCAACCCAGCTATAACCTACATGATGACATTGATCAAGCAAGGGAGACGCTGGGTGATTTTCTTTACTTCAACCCAGGTATAACCTACCTGATGATATTGATGGAATGGCGATGCTTTGAAAACCATCTTGATCTGCTTCTACAAGACATCGTACAATTGTTTTACACAAATCATCTTCACAGTCCGGTTTGTTGGAATAATCATACCAACATGGTCCTACAGCATGGTAAACTTGTTTACAGATCATATTACCACCAGTAGTTTTACAGATACCAGTAACAGGTAGTTCTCCATTATCATCTATATATCTTCTACACTGTCTTTCTAGTTCATCTCCACCAGCTGTAGCTATAAACCTAGCTACTCCTCCACCATGTTTCATCATTCCATTAGCAGCATTTACAATAACATCAACATCTAATCTAGTTATATCACTCTTCTTTACACACACTGTCAGATTTTTACACTTTGTATAGAAAATGCGTTCTTGGATCACTGGTGGTGCTAATTTCACAGGAGGAGTGGTGGGTGTATATTCGTCTGTTCTTGCACTTTCCTGTTTTTTATTGGTCAATTTTATGATACCAACTGCTACCTTAGCTTGATAACTGACAAGCTCTACCTCCACATAATCCTCACCTAAGATATGAATACTGCTGGTTTTAGTATCAAATTCAACATAGACAGTATCCATATGAGCATGGTTTGTTCTGTAACGTTTGGCTTCTTCTATTTTATTGTCATTAACGTCAATTTCTTCATGACGTATTCTATACATTAAATCCTCAAGATCTTCCACCAGTTTGTCTTTTGAATCTTTTGGAAGGATGAAATGTGTTTCTCCATCTACTTCTTTGACATCACCACAAATCATCTTCATTTTGTCCTGACCAAAAAGACATTTTAAAGCTCTAAATTTGTATGTCTTCACTGAACATGGTTCTACCTGTACTGGTTGGAGTCCAGTATTTTGGTTATATTTTTTACCATACTTCTCTTGTAACATTATTTTAGCCAACTCAATCTGTTGGGGACAACCTTCTATAAATACTTCACCATTAGTACTCATTGTGTAAACACCTGAAGCGTCCTGTAAACCCTTCTTTAGGGCGTTACAACCCTGGATATGTACGTTCACCCTATGTATCACAGGGGTTAACACCTATAATATAACAATACAATGTTAACTCTAATCTTCATAAAGTGGGAATTCGATCAAGTGGGGTGTATCATTTCATACAGTTATTATTATAATTCCATAGTAGTAAGAACTGTGAATTAATCAGGAACTAACTTTAGGTCCGAGAGAGAGAGAGAGAGAGAGAGAGGGAGGGGTGGGTGTGTGTGTGTGTGGGGGGGGGTATGCACTCGACATAAACTAGGTCATTTGTGGACCCAGAAAAAACCCACAAGGTTGGACAGGCAACCTCACTCTTTGTCACGTTCAACCGGGAATTCGAAACCAAACAAGTTGACTCAATGACAGACCTTATTTTATAACGCGCACGCGCTAACCATTCGGCCATCCCCCCAGGTTCTAAAGCATCCACCAGTGTATGAATAATTAATGGTGGGTGTCATAGAATTAGTATTATAATTCCATGGATGTATGAATGAGCGCTAGGGTGGGTAGCATCTAAATCTAGCTGTTCTAATTATCGGAAATCGTTGAAAATTAATAGGATTCTACACATAAACACTGTGAATTAATTTCAAATCAATCAGGAAATAACTTTAACCTCTAGAGCATCCACAAGATTTCACAAGGTGACCAAGAATAATGTCTCATTTTGCAATTATCAGAAAGAGTCTCATGAACTTAACACTGTGTATAAGTTTCACGTTAATTGGATGATTATTTTACCCTCCCGAGTGCCCACAAAATTTTTAAAACTAATCAAGGGCCATAACTCAGGCAGTAATTCTTGAAAATTGTTGAGGCTTCTTTGTCTCATGACGTTAAACATTGTTCATACATTTAAAGTTAATCAGCAATCGTGTATGACAGACAACGGTGACATCATATGACGGCGACGGACAAAAATATAATTATAAGAATATGCGGTTATAGCAATAATGCATAAAGTCTCTTCATCACTGGTTATTTACATCTGGCTGAAATATAGTTTAGGGAAATGCCCTTTGAAATGCTCTGCTTGCATAAAACCTCATTATATTCTATTTGCAGGACCAGGTGTAGGATCCCCTTATGCACACATGGCAGGGTTGAGATGGGAGACATATTACCATGGAGAATGCTCACTAGTTCGCGGGTTCACTAGTCTACCGATATCTACTATTAGGGTTGGGTTAGGGTTTGGGTTCATTAGTCCACCGATATCTATTATTAGGGAGAGGGTTGGGTTGGGTTAGGGTAAGGTTTATTGATACCCATGTATATAGTATTCTTATAGCGGTAGACTAGTACACCCACGGACAAGTGAACCTCTCTCATTACCGCGGTCTCTTTCCTATGCAGTTCATTAGCACACTAGCTGATTTTACAATGAGATAAAACCAAGATAAGACAAAAAGACAAACATGAAAAATTCTTACCTCTTGCGATGCTGGCATATCGATAAACTTAGAAGTTTCATATTTCTTCTTTATTAAAGCACAGGCTTCATCTTTCACTACAATAAATACATAGTTGAAGATAAAACAATATACTTGTTGATGGGATGAAACAAACAAGGTTATGTGTACATGATGGTGTGCTTGTAAAAGAACCCTTGACAGTTGGAATTTGAAATAAGATTAGTCTGTTGCATCGCTCTCAGGTCAAAATTTATCCCCACATCCGACTGTAGGGCACACGCCCATCTTTATTTGCCCAGTTGGTGCAGAAAAGGTGGGACGTTAAACCACATTTCATTTCATTTAAGGAATTCCTTACGGGTTACTTGGTAAGCACCTTGTCTGATTTACTTTTACGGACTTGGAAACTGAAGAGGTTTTTTTTTCTGTGAAAAAATAGCACAAGATTTTATTGTATATTTGTGACCATATCTCCAACTTTACCTGAGCAATAAGGCTCCTTCCCAAACACAGAATAGAATCCAGGAAATGTTCTCAAAAACATTACCTGACTTCTGAGATGGTAATGTGTTCTCCATGATTTTCATGTAACTCATACTGCACGTGCTGTTCACCAGGACAGGACCAGTCCTATAAAATGCATCCCTATACCTGGTTGAATCATTCAACTACGTCAGCAGCATGCCACGACTCACGGCAGCTCAGAAGAACCAGGCGCTTGGAAGACTCGACGCTGGCCACACTACCCAAGACGTTGCCAATCACTTTCAGGTCAATGTTCGGACCATCTACAGGCTTCAGCAACGCTCTCGGGCCACCAACACCACGGATGATCGCCCTCGAACTGGTAGACCAAGGGTTACCACAAGGCGACAAGACCGCCATGCTATGCGACAGCACGTGCAGAATCCCTCCACACAGGCATCTGAGACAGCACGTCATACAGTGGGAACACACGGAAGATGCATCAGTACCGATACAGTGCGCCGACGTCTCACCAGAGAGAACATCCATTGCCGTAGACCTTACCGTGGACCGATCGATCCTCACCCCTCGCCCTCGACTTGAACGTCTACAGTTTGCCCCAAAACATCAGAACGTGCGACACAGGCAATGGAGAATTATTCTGTTCACAGATGCGTATCAATTGCAGATGGCAGGACCAGAATATGGCGTTAGTCTGACCAATGTCTTATGGAACGAGACTTATGTGTCGAATCCGCGGATGGGTCCTGTGGTGTTCCAAAAGCTCTGTCCAGGAAGAGGAGGCGGAATCACAACAGTGCGCTACATCGATCAAGCTCTCAGACCCCACGTCATACCACATTTCGCACTTCATCGAAACGTTTTCCAGCATGACAACGCTCGGGCCCACACCGCCAGAGTTACTCGGGAATATCTACAGCAGAACGGTGTCATAGTTATGTACTGGCCAGCCCTTAGTCCGGACTTAAACCTGATTAAACATCTTTGGGATGAAATTCAGAGGAGACTTAATAACGTCGTACCGAGACCAAACACAGCTGATGGATTGCGCCACGCTTTTCTGAGAGTGTGGTTCCAGGTCCCAATGGTGTTCATCAATCGTCTGGTTCACTCTATTTACAGACGCTGCGCTGCTGTTATTGACACTTGCGGTGGACACACCAGATACTGATGTATAGACTGTGCAGACTCTAAACCTTCTTGTAATGTCTTGGAACTGTGATGAACTAATCACTAATGTATCAACATACTGTTCACAAAAAATTGCTCTGATCCATTTAGTAAGTACTTTTCTTGAATGATTTGATTAAAGTGCCGCTCTGATTTTGAAATTGTACTGACGGTTTTTTTTTGCTGTTTAGTATATAATGGTCCATTCTGCCTCATAAACTATTGTCTTTAATATCGGCATAGATTTTTAACAATACAATATAAATATGTTGGACACAGAGAGCATGTCAGTTGATATGACTGGACAACCCCCTTCACAATTTTATTATAAACTAACAGAGAAAATGCTGGATCAATGCACATTTTCATACCTTTTTTGCTTCCAAAAGCCAGAAATGCTTTATATACATTGTCTTGAAATGGTGAAACTACACAAAGAGGTTGAATCTCTGCCTTCAAGTTTGGTACCAATACATTCTTTACATTGGCCATACCAAGTTCTTTGGCGGTATATTCTATAATAACACATCTTGATTCGTGGGTACCATCTCTATAGTAAACATATGTAAGATATAATTCTGACTAGAAACCAGAACCAGATATCCTAATTCAACCAGATATTCCCCCCCCCCCCCAACAGTCTCAATTTTGGTCTTCGAAGTAATTATTAGTGAGCAGAAATTCGTCCGTGTATCTGTTATCACTCGTCACTTCATTACTTTCGTCATTTCCGTTTTTATACGCCCACATTTTCATGTGGACGTATATTGTCCCCCTTTCCGTCTGGATGTCCGTCCGTCCGTCCACAATTTGTTTGTGGGCACTCTACAGGTCACAATTCTTATCCGATTTTGACGAAACTTGAAATATAGGTTTATCACCAAAGGATCTCGGCTGCTTTCGATATTGGCATGGATCGGATAGAAACTTCATGGATCATGGCCCCTGTTTGTGAACCCTATAGCTTGTGGACCCTATAGAGGTCACAATTTTTATCCGATTTTGTTGAAACTTGAAATGTAAGTTTATAACCCAAGGATCTCGGTTCCTTTTGATATTCGCGCATATCAGACCGTAACTTCCTGAATTATGGCTCCTGATTGTACGAAATATCGCGTTTTTAGCTTATTGAGCCTATAGAGGTCATAATTTTTATCCGATTTAAAAAAACGTATTATTATATCACCCAAATCGGCCCAACATTGACAGACAAAATAGCCGCCGTTCGTTCTCAAATAGCGTAAAAATATGGTATATCAAGGGTGTGGACCCTATAGAGGTCACAATTTTGATCCGATTTTGATGAAACTTGAAATACATATTTATAACCCAAAGATCTTGGCTCCGTTCGATATTCGCACATATTGGATCATAACTTCCTGAATTATGATTGTACGAAAAGTCGCGTTTTTAGGATGTGATCCCTCTAGATGTCACAATTTTTATCCCATTTAAAAAAACGTTTGAATATATCACTGTTACACCCTTATGATGTAACAAATCGAACCAAAACTACCAGAAAAAATGGCTGCCCCTTGTACACAAATATTGTAAATATATGGCATATTAAGGTTTTGGACCCTCTAGAGCAGTGATTCTCAACCAGTGTGCCGCGAGATCTTCCTAATTGTGCCGCGAAATTTTGAACGGTACACTAAGAAAATGCGAAAAATCACTCCCAATTTGAGTATTCACTGGTGTCTACTGGTAACTTCGTAGCTGTGTTTTTCATTATTTAGTTTGAGTCACTCTATGTGACTATGACTAGTCCGTGTCTACGGTTGTATGCCGTCTATGACTTGCCATGTTTTTATTTTGTAAAATTCAAATATTTTTCATATATATCTAGTCAGGTGTGCCGCTATTTTTTCATATGTTCCAAAGTGTGCCGTTGGCAAAAAAAGGTTGAGAACCACTGCTCTAGAGAGAGGACTCAATTTTGATCCGATTTTGATGAAACTTGAAATACATGTTTATAACCCAAAGATCTTGGTTCCTTTCAATATTCATGCATATCGGATTGTAACTTCCTGAATTATGGCCCTTGATTGTACGAAAAATCACATCTTTTTTTGAGCTCGTTCTCTGTCTATCTCTTGCAAAATGTGGGCGTATCTTGCATGACAACCGCTTGTTTTGAAACCTTCATTAGGATACGCATCTATCGTAGCACTGAACTCTGTGTTAAAATAATATTTGGAACGTGTTTAACCAGTTCTATCACATATGTGATAATGACTGACACCAATTTTATCCTTACAACTTTATTCTGAGAAACCATGGATGCAAGTTATAGAGAGAAACAATTCGGATGTAAATAACGAACAGAAAGATAACAATCTGGATGTCAGCTGCTATATGAGAGATAACAAATTGTACCTAAATTACGAACAGAGGGATAGCAATTTGGATGTAAACTGCTAGTTGAGAGATAACAATTTGGATCTACGAATAGAAAGATTTGCATTTGAGCTACTAGCTGAGAGTTAATAACCTGATATAATTATAGACATGTTAAAATTGCTAGATCGCTATTATAGTTCTAGTTTACCTTTTTTCAATAGCACAAGATCGAATAGCAGCCATATTTTCTGAAAATAAAACGACATGAAAATGACAATCAGACGTACATAGGAGATCTATCTTGTGTTAATTTTACATAGTGGGGTTGATTCCAGGTTTCTATGTTGACACAATATGGCCTGTTTTTTTGAATAGAAAACCTCAGCTACCATTCGTCAGTCTTATGATATCTGTATGGGGTTGCTTTCACATAATCGCAAAGCAATGCACAATAATAAAACTAAACGTAAGTGAACTACAATGATAAAAACTAAACTTAAGACAACTGCATAATAATAAACTTAGATAATGATAAAACTAAACTCAGGATATCAGACTGGGGTTGACTCTATAGTGGGAGATTAACTAAGGCCTGAGTTTGCTTACAGATAAGACAGATCTGCTGTGACCACCATACAAGGTTTCCAAATCTGACTTACAAAGCATGTTAAATTAAAGCAATAAGTATAGCATAAACTTTCAAATCAATTCTAGATTGTGCAGTTAGATTTTTCGAAAAAACCCCGGCATTTCAAATTTAGGGACAGTAATTCTAATTTTATATTGAAAAATATAGCAACGGATAGATGTGTAAAATAACTTAATTCATTAAAACAATACCGGTATTGATATTTGTTACCTTCTCTTCTTTTGCTGGAAACATCATCCACGGTTACAGGTATCTAAATATAAACACAAACATATTACGTCATTAAAGATACGCTTACATTTTTATTGAGACGGATGAAAAAAATGGAAAATCGATAGGGCTCATTGTCTCAATGCTTCACATGTAGCCACTGTCGATTTTCGGAAAGTGGGGGGGGGACGTAAAACTGGTTTAAAAGCTAAAACCTCTTTTCACGTAATTCAAACTAATTCATGAATGCTGTGTAATGAACATATATTTGAACAGTATTATAAATCTATTAAAAATCTGTTGACATCTAGCTAAACAATCAGGGGCTATTATCCGGGATCAATGACAATATGTGCCAAACTCTCACCAGAACAGATAATATTTGTGAACCGTAGTGTCCACAAACAACTGTTAACATACACAGATGAAAGCGTAAGTCCAAATGAACATTCTCGACTTGGATAATACCTGTACTATCATAACAGGTGCACAATATACATAATGCCAGAAACAGGAAACCAAGTCGTATTGGACAGGGAATCCAACCACGACCTAGGCTTGTTATGGGTAAATGTGTTTGGTTATTGGGATACGCATTTTTTGTAATATACTCTTCAAAAAACTTAAGGGATATTCAGAAACAATACAAAACTGCGGTATTAAACTGCTGTTTTTATTAGAAGTAACCAGTGTATGTGAATAACAGGCCAATTTCCTACACATGAACATAAACAGTTCATATGGGCGCAGGCCGGTAGCCAGCTTGCTAGTTTCGGAGGGGCAGTGATGTTTTTTTTTTTGGGGGGGGGGCACACCTGGCACAGTCTACAGTAGGTATTTTAGAGCTATGGTCAGCAATTTTTTTTCGGGGGGGGGGGGGGGGGGGGGGGGGGTGAAAACATTTTTTCGGGGGGGGGGGGGGGGCATTGCCCCCCCCCCCTTGCCCTCCTCTGGCTACGGGTCTGTATGGGCGGCTTATCTGACGGCCCCATTTCACTCGCAAAGAGCTACACTGTCAAAAGTGAAAATGGACGTTTTTGATTTTTGTCTTAATAATGAGTAATTGGTCCATCAATCCTCAGACATTCAGCAATTCGTCGTGGCATGCTCCTAATCAACCGCCCAATCATCACGATTTGGGACAATCTGACCCATTCCTCTTGCAGTGCCACGGCCAATTCTTGCAGTGTTGTCGGTTGACGTTGGCGTCGACGAACACGTCTCCCGATCAAATTAAACGCACGCAAGCAAAAATACGCTAAACAGTAAACCTTATGCAAGAACCGATAGGAAAGCATGTCAAATTCGACAATGAACCCCTCCCACCCATGTATATGACGCGATTGCGTGTCGCACATGCAGCTCAGTGGTTCTGTTATGGCGATAAGTTCTTCTTTTGTGAACATACTCTCAAAGCATGTCAAGTGTCCATGACTATTTATCATATACCTACCTGCATAGGTATTTGCATTACAGTATCCCCTACTTTTTGGAAGAGTATATATGTTTTTAGGAGAAATGTAAAATGATGTACTCCTGATATTTTCCTGACCTTCTATACATATACATCTCTTATCTCTGACACAATTTACCTCTTTTTTTTCGATAATATTATTGATTGCTTTTTCTATCTTCTCTTTCTTTAATTTATCTCCAGCTATTTCTATATTAACTCTATGAATAGTATCACCTGCCATTCTTCCTACAATAAAGATAGTAAGGCAAAGCGTGGAATATGCTCACACAGCAGCTTTGTTTCAACTGCAGCTTATCCGAAAGGAAAACTGTGATGTTCAACAAATGTAATGACCCCTTCACATGGGGAGGGGGGGGTATGGAACCGTAACGCTTCCAATATTTACAAAATTTTTTGAAGTGATCAAGGGTCATAACTCTGGCAGTATTTATCGAAAATCGCTGAAAATGAATAGACTTCTACGTCTCAAGACTTTAAACACTGTGTATAAATTTAAATTGGTATGGAAGAGTATCGCTGCCAATATTAAAGCTCTGCTACAATGTCTTTTCCATTGATTATATGTAAAAGTACAAAGTCCTAATACTGGTAATGATAAAGTCAAAATACCCCTAAGGCAAGAGTTAAATGTCAAATGTTAAGTGTTAAATGACAAATGTTTTGTGGAAATTGCTTTATTTTTGACGTGTCTACATTTTACATTTCTCTCATTAAATTTTACATTTACGCTCTGCCACACCCCATTTGTCCTTCACGCTTTGTACATAGCACCTTTCGCACAGCATCAATTTTGATATGTAGGATATCACGTGACTTATTAACCTATACGGAAACCTGGCACATTATAAACCAGCACACTATAAGGATATTCACCGCACGATAACAGTAAAGAAACCCGACAAAAAACCATGTCTCGATTTCTTTTTGATCTCAGAAGAATTACTCTCAACATTAGATAAGATACTCATTTATCCTGGCTACAGAACTGATCATTCCATTACAGTATTACAATTAAAGATTTCAAAATTTGAGAAAGGTAAAGGATTTGGGTGCTTTAATGGCTCTTTACTGAAAGATCACGAATATGTTCTCAAAGTAAAAGAAGTAATTACTGAAACAAAATCAGAATATGCTTAATATGTTTAAAAAATAAAATAAATATGTTAGAAGATTACTATCAATCTTCTGATTCAAAATTAATACTAGAGACCCTAAAGGAAAAAAAAAATTGGGAGAACTGAGTCAACACGAAGTTGAGTGACAAATAATACGATCAAGGGTTAAATGGATAGAGGACGGGAAAAAACCAAGTAAATATTTCTGCAATTTAGAAAAAAAAAGAACTATGTGAATAAAACTGTTACAAAATGCATAAATGAATCAGGAAAAAAATTACTGATCAAAATGAAATTCTTCAGGAAATTAAATTATTTTATGCTAACCTTTATAAAAATAGAGACGATATATTAGAGGATGTTAATCTAGATCAATTACTAGATAAATACGAAGTCAATAAACTTTCAGATCTTGAGTCGTATAGTATCGATTGAATCATAACGAAATCAGAAGTATTAACCGCCTTGAAAAACAACAGAAGTCCTGGAACAGGTGGATTCTCTGCCGAATTCTTTAAAAAAATTTGTTCCGATTTAGGGTATTTTTTAAGTTAGGTCCTACAACCACAGCTTTTATAAAGAAATACTACCAATTACTCAAAGACAGGGAATCATATCCATACTACCAAAAGTAGGCACACCGAGAGAATCTCTAAGAAACTGGCGTCCAATTTCACTGTTAAATATAAGCTACGAAATCTTAACGGGGATATTGTCCAACCGAATAAAAATATTTTTACCAAAACTGATAAGCAAAATGTAAACTGGTTTTAATACATTGGAGAAAACACCAGACTTTTATATGATATTATGCATGAAGTAACTGTAAACAAAAAGAGCGGTCTTTTAGTCGATTTTATGAAAGCTTTCGATAGTATATCATGGAAATTTATGAAAAGGTTATTGATTTATTTCAAGTTTGGAAAAAACTTCAGAAAATGGATCAATATTATACTAAATGATGTGCAGCTCTGTGTGTGCCAAAACAAATTTTATTCGTCTTTCTTTAGTATATCAAGAGGATGTAGGCAAGGTGGTCCAATATTTCCATACCTGTTTATTCTGTGTGCCGCAATAATGAGTATAATGTTTAGAAATAATACCCTCACAAAAGGGATTAAAATAAAGATACCGAATATAAATTTGACAATATACAGAGATACAACCATCTTTTTGGATGGACCAATCAAATTTCTAAAAGATAGGTTGCCAGGCAACGAAACATACGCACACAGCAGCTAAATCGTCCGGGCAGTCAGCAAGAGTTGTCGCATATTTTTAATTTTCGGTAATGAAACATTTATAATACACTAAAATCTGATTATAAATTTAAAGTCAATCGGATATTAACTTTGGCCTCTAAAGCGTCCACAAGATTTTTCAAAGTGATCAAGGGTCATAACTCTGGCAGTAGTTATCGGAAATCGCTGAAAATCAAAAGGCTTCTTCGTCTCATGACCGTAAACACTGTGTATAAATTTAAAGTCAATCGGATATTAACTTTGACCTCTAGAGTGTCCACAAGATTTTTCAAAGTGATTAAATGCCATAACTCTGGCAGTAATTATCGGAAATCGCTGAAAATAAATAGGCTTCTTCGTCTCATGACCTTGAACACTGTGTATGAATTTAAAGCCAATCGGATATTAACTTTGGCCTGTAGAGCGTCCACAAGATTTTTTGAAGTGATAAAGGGCCATAACTCTGGCAGTAATTATCGGAAATCGCTGAAAATCAATAGGCTTCTTCATCTCATGACCTTAAACACTGTGTATAAATTTAAAGTCAATCGGATATTAACGTTTGCCTCTAGAGCGTCCACAAGATTTTTCAAAGTGATCAAGGGCCATAACTCTGGCAGTAATTATCGGAAATTGCTAAAAATCAACATGATTTTTCGTCTTTTTACCTCAAAAAATGTGTATAAATTTAAAGTCAATCGGACATTAAATTTAGCCTCTAGAGTATTTACAAGAATTTTTGAAGTGATCAAGGACCATAACTCTGGCAGTAATTATCGGAAATCGCTGAAAAACAATAGGATTCTTCATCTCATGACCTTAAACACTGTGTATAAATTTTATGTCAATCGTATATTACCTTTAACCTCTAGAGCACCCCCAAGATTTTTTTAAGTGATCAAGGGCCATAACTCTGGCAGTAATTATCGGAAATAGCTGAAAATCAATAGGCAACTTCGTCTCATGACCTTAAACACTGTGTATAAATTTAAAGTCAATCTGATATTCATTTTGACCTCTAGAGCGTCCACAAGATTTTTTGAAGTGATCAAGGGCCATAACTCTGGCAGTAATTATTGGAAATCGCTGAAAATCAATAGGCTTCTTCGTCTCGTGACCTTAACACTGTGTATAAATTTAAAGTCAATCGGATATTAACTTAAAGTCTCTAACTCAATATCATCCAAAATCTTCGACATTGAAAACACGATTGATTTGTCGCTTTAAACCAACATTGATGTTGTGATCCTACCGGGAAAAGATGGCCTTCTGATATCCAATATTTAAGACAAAATAAACATTTTACAATTGGTACACGAATCGTGTACCATAATGCGTTTCAGCGCTATTTGTAATAAGAGACTCGAAAAACGAGGCTAGGCATATTCCACCAGTCATGTCAAACGGTGAGGCTATATTCTTATCTAGAGGGTATGCCCAATAAAGACTATCGGCGTAGACTGGAAAAACCAGACGCTAGAGGTTGAAATTCGATTGAGAATACTGGCGTATTTCGCCGAACCTAATTGATTAGAAATTACAGTAAAACAGAAACTATTGAATGTAAATCAATTTATATACATTCATATTACATTATTGCATGTGTTGCGACCCATTTGTGTCAATTTCTAGGTCCCAAATATTAGCGACTTAGCTCCTTTAAGCCTCTAGAGCGTTCACAAGCAATTGAGGAAGCCACCCGCCGGCCGGCCGGCCGGACATACGAGGTCGAAGACAATGTACGACGACATTTCAAAACCAAAAAGCGAAATCAAATGGGAATCAATCATATTTGATGAAAATATAGGTGATTTGTGACAAAATATCAACTGTTTAGCTTCTAAAATAACTAAATACACCAAACTTATCTGGTTACAATATAGGATTATCCATAGGATTCTGAGTACTAATTAATATCTTAAAAAAAATGGGTATACAAGAAAATGATAAATGTACATTTTGTACAAATTATGTAGAAACAATCACTCACATATTTGTCGAGTGTGGAAAATTTTCTTAATTGGTTGGATTCGATCATGAATTCTGACCTATCCTTATCTCCTGTGGTTATAATATTCGGGAAATTAAAACCATGTAATAAGCAAATTAACATACTCTTGTTAATCATAAAAAACTACATTTATAAAAATAAACTATTAAACCAAACAATATCCCTAGACCGTATCACAAGAGAAAAAGATACTACCGAAAACTTGAAAAATACAAATACAAAATGAATTTGAATTATGAGACATATATAGACAAATGAGGCTATTATGAAGCTTTGTTTGCTGAATGATCACTATTTGATGACCCATAGTCCAGGCAAGATAGGAAAAGTGCGGGCAGTTGCTGCAATAGAAATGCCGAGCACGGTTTATGGTCGGTCTAGACGTATATTATCACCAAAAAAAAGTCCAAGTCCGAAATCCGTGCCCAAATGAATCAAATTGGCCAAAATCCAAAATAGCCGCCGGTTTTGACTGGGAAATGCCAGTTTTTATCCACTTATCATTATATGATCGAGTTTGGTATCAAAATATATCCTTTCGGGGTAGCTGGATCCATTTCCATACACATTTTGTTGATTAGTTATACCGCGGAGTCAATTTTGGGAAATAAATCCAGATGGCAGTCAGTTTTGGCTGGAAAATTCGAATTTTACACAATTACAATATTTGGTGTCAAAATATATGTTCTGGAGGCAGCTGATCCCTTTTTGACACATTTTTTCATCTTGGTAATTAACTAGTTCCCCTGGGTCAAAATATGTGGAAATCCCATTGGAGATTTGGAGATTTGGAGATTACGAGTGGTCGAGTCTGCCTCAGATCTAATACGATGGCTTCTTTGATTCCTTAAGAGATAATTCGACTTCCGTGTACAAAGTTCAGAACATAACACTTACTTAAGAACGCGAAATCCCCCTCCTATCTCAGATAAGAAGAAGGTGCAAGAAGTACGGATATTATATGTGACCACGTTATTTCTGGTCTTATAAAATTAAGACTGAGTCCAAGTAACTTCTATGTGATTTATTAAACATAGATAAATCAACAAATATTTACAAGAAAGAGAGAGATCTGATCCGTTCTAAACCATAGCTCACTCTGTTTTTGAAATACAGTTCTACAAAATATATAACAGATAATCATAACACATTGACAATTAGACGGCTCTAGCAGCTGAGACTGATTTAGTTGATGACCCTAAAAGCTCCTGACGTCCATTCTGTTTCAGAAAAATACAGCCTGTAGGATTCGTCATAGTCTTTATATTGTGGAATCTTCCAGACGGAGCGTCAATTTCATTATTTTGTGTTCCAGTTAAAGATGTCAGAAGTCCTGGAAAATCGTACGACCTACTCACTAAGTGCCATTAGAAGACGCCTTGATGTGAGAGTTCTTGAATCCCGTATTCGTCAACTTTCTACACCACTGCATACATCACTACAAGTTGATACCATTATTCCTTTGATCAAGCAATGTCTGGAATCCACATATTTCACATGGGGAAAAAACTATTATGAATAGATCCACGGTTTACCGATGGGAGTCCTTTATCCCCGCTATTTCCGAAATTTACATGATTTCACTTGAAGAAAAAGCCATTCTAACCACCCCTTTTCATGTTCTGGTTCAGAAAGGTGATGCTGACGTTCTCCTAAATCACTTGAACAACCAACATCCAAGAATGAAGTTCACATTGAAGTTCACAATGGAGAATGAAACCAACAACAGCCTCCCATTTCTGAATGTAATGGTAAGAAGAGAGAACTCAAATGTTACCACCTCAGTGTACAGAAAACCAAAATACACGGACCAGTATATCTGCTAATCACCCCAAAGCATAAAAGCAGGCAGTATCACCACCTTAACTAAAAGCGCCAAAACATGTGTGACCCTGAATACCTCATCCTGGAATAACAAGACATAAACGATGGCTTCATCCAACACAACGGCTATCAAGAACAAATTGTAAAAAGTTCATCAACGCCACATTATCAAACCTTCCAAAACCTGATAAACCAAAAAATGATAAACCCCTAATACGAGTTATTGAAAACAGAAGCAGAGATAGAAACCACATTCCTCAAAGGCGGAATAACAAAAGAGTTAGTAAATGCTAATGGAAAGTCAAACCCCACAAAGCCTATCTTACCGAAAGGCTGTGTCTATGCGAATTTAACTGTTGTTGTGAATTCAAACGACTTTTAAATCTAAAGGGGATATGTCACCCCCCACCCACCACAACCACCTCCACCTCCAACCAATCTACTGTTTTGATCGATAACCCACGACATCGAGTCAGCAGGACCAAAATAAAAAAGATAGATGTAAACCGCCATAACAAAAGAAACTTAACAATACAAGAACCAACCAACATCAACATCGACATATCCTTATAATCATCTTAACAATATACTTACTACTCTCAAGCCAAAGATTTATATAGTTAAAAGCAGCATACGCTTTAAAGGATCAAAACTATGGAATTTGTTGCCACCCTCTTTAAAAAACTTTAAATAACTTGAATCTTTTCAGGAATAAACTTCTCCTTTACCTTAAATCTACTCCAAATATATTATCCCCAAAAAGCATGTACATGTTGTACATTTGTTGATACATGATATATCTATTTATTCAAACTTTCTGTTTTATGAACTCGCATATATACTTAAATTAATCTTTTAAGTGATTTGTATATATTTTCCTCTATTGTAAATGATTGCGGTGTGTTTTTTAATGCACCAGTCTATATCTTTTGTAATATATTTTCTATGAAGGGCAGGATTTTAGAAAGACTATTATAGCCTGATCTTCAACCATTCTCAAATAAAGTCATTATTATTATTATTATTAACTGAACTAAAACCGAATCGAGACCCAGGCGTTTACATCCCTAGAACTTAGACCGCATCAGCAAACTGTAATAACATATATATATATACAACTGGCCGTAGTTTTTTCTTTGATGTGCATAGCAGTTATATCTCATATGAACCTGTCTTGACGTCATCATAGATTGATATATTCGGTTCATATCAACCGCTATTAACGTCATCACGGGTGGATATATTCGGCTCATATGAACCGCTATGATTGTTATGGTACAGTTTGTAGGTAGCATTCAGCATCGAAAAGGACGGCGTACTTATCGGCATATTTTTTAGATTGGTTATCCATGCTCAATGTCTAAGATATCTGTCAGAATTTTCCTTCCGTCCACATTTCAATTATTTCTCCAAATATTTGTCGCCCAAGGGTTCCTTTGTAAAGTATTTTTGGGTACAGTCCACTTAAAACAGTCGGTCAAATTCACTGTCAGAATTATCGGAAAAGATTGCCTTTTGATCTAAATTTTCTTCAGGCATTGTATATGTAGGACAAAAACCTTCTCTACCTCGGATTGATATGATAGAGAACACGCGGGCAAATACAACCCCAGATCTTTTAATGTAACTCCCCCATGTTTAACCTATATGCTTCCTGGCATTATCCAATCAACTAAATGAGCCGAGCTATATAGTACCTGTACAACTTCTTATCTGAGATAGAAGGTGATTTCGCGTTCTTAAGTTACTGTCATGTTCTAGTTGACTAATAGTGAAACTTTCACCGAAACAATTAATGTTGTACGCGGAATTTGAATTGGGAGGGGGGGGCGTAAAACACCAACTTCAAGTAATCCATCAGTGATCTCCCTGACAGTTATAAAACCATATAAGAAGTGATTCACTACAAAACAAATGTTAATAAATAATTTACCTGCTTTTATTCTAGATAAATTCTCGGCACAGAATACCTGGAAAAAAAAATTTAAGAGATATTTAAACAATTGTTCACGAAATAGAGAGAGAGAGAAATGGGTTTTAACGTCCACTCGACACAAACTAGGTCATTTCGGGACTAACATATGGTTTAATTTTATTTCAATAATTCGCTTGCGCGTAGTGGTCTTTAGCAGTGGGAGGAAACCGGAGGACCCGGATAACCCACGAGATTGGACAGGCGACCCTACTCCTTGTCACGTACAACCGGGGATTCAAAACCACGCCAGATGACTCAATGACAGGCCGTATGATACAGCACGCACGTGCTAACCATTCGGCCATCCACCCCCCCCCACCCCCGTTCACTAAATAGATAATAAATATGAAACTATATATTTGATACTCTCAAGTCGTTATAAAACATTTACATTCATGTGATTTAAATACTTATTACCTAATAATACATTATACAGTAGATATCGCTTGTGTGATAAATTCCATAATCTACAGGGATATCTCCTAGGAGATGTCGCTTTACATGAATTTGATTGGTCAATCCAAAAGGAACTAATTTTTTTATTTTCAAAGAACAGTTCATTTTTTATTAAATGTAACTTCTTTCTTATTATAAAGGAACTATTTTTATTTAATTGGCCTTAATGGAACCACTGGGTCAATATAAAGGACTTTGCAATGGTTGAGTTGCCGTGAAAAAATGATGTATCACTACGCCGTAATGTAATCAGGTTCAGTAAAAGTGAAATTTATAGCAAAGAATTATATTGATTTACTAGCAGGATATCCGGCTTCGCTCGGGGATCATAACTCTGAAACTGGAAGTGGTAGACTAACGCCACCTGGCCTATGTTACTCCCCGGTCCGAGCTACCCCTATACCCAAAATTTCAGACTCGGGGCAGACCTAGTGTAGCCGCCAACCCCGAACAGACCGGCTTCGCTCGGGGGTCATAACTCCGAAACAGAAAGTGGTAGACTAACGCCACCTGGCCTATGTTACTCCCTGGTCCGAGCTACCCCTATACCCCAAATTTCAGACTCGGGGCAGACCTAGTGTAGCCGCCAACCCCGAACAGACAGACAGACAGACAAACGACACTCACAAATATATATATAGATTTATGCATGTAAGAAGGGATTGGGTAATAAATAAAATCTCCTACTCGTCTTTTTTGATATCAAAATATATCAACACTCGTCGATAAAGTGAAAAAAATTCCCTTGTGTTATCTACTTGTGTTGATATTTTTTGATATAAAAAAAAGAATCGTAGGAGATTCTCTATATACTCTGTCAAAAAAGAATTGGATATATAGTGACGGGTATTTAAAGCTGCAATGCTTGCAATGATGTCGGATTTCATTTCGCCGTAGTTGCGGTACAAGATGTCAAGACTATGCTCGCCGAATAGAAACATTGCAGTAAGTAGATGAATTGCGGTAAGCAATCACAAGCCATATGAAGCACTCCTCCACACCTCTTGGACATGTTTCAATCAGTACAATACCGGTGGAAGACCTCTGCAGGACAAGATCACTAAATTTGGGTTTTGCAACGAACATTTCTGGACGCGTGCCAGCTATGAGAAGGATGTCTGCACAAACAATGGGGAAATAATTTTGAGAAGCTGATTTACCGGCTAGGATAGCGTATTTCGGACCTTTTATGTAACGTCAACATCGACGTTTACGAGCAAGAATGTACAGGGGTGGGACTTGGGACACTGGTGGTGAGTATGGTTCAGCGACGAGTCACGTTTTCATTTACAACGGTGTGATAGAGGACAACGTGTGTACTGTAGGCATCGCAATGAATGTTTTGCTAACAACTGTGCCGCGCAAGCTGACAGATTCGTTAATGTATGTGTGGGGGTGGGGGTGTTAGGGTGGTCCCCTGACCCCCGGGAAAAATAGTGAGTCTCAAAATAAGTGTTGTCACTACAGTCGATCTCAAAATTAATTAATGAGGTAAACAAACAATGCCAAAATAGAAGGGAAAAATCCCGAATACTTAATATATGTATGAATATATCGGTGTATTTGACTTCACAATCCGCACCAAAGATTCACGTAGTTTCCATGTATGGAGGTTACGGTTAAATTACGTGATATAAGGTCAATTAGGTGATTTGCAGATGATATTCAATACATGTATTTAGCAAACTAAAATATCTTCTGAAGTTTCCTATACATTTAGTTTTTTTCATATTCCTTAGGCTCAAAACCAAACAAAACTAAAATACTGTGAATTTTATTATTTTAATTTGCGCCGAGTATGCTGACCTCAATCACATTGACAGAAATATTCAGCATAAACCTAGCGGACATCAGAATTTTCGAGACGATTCATAGAACATAGTCTCTTTAGACTGTAGGCTGTGCCGTTCCGTGTGCACGAGTTGAATTCTTGCAAAATTCTTAATAAATAACACGAATTCCCATGCGCAGTAGTACTACTCAATTTTACGCATGTTATATGTGTTTATGACCATCAGAATTCTGCAAAATCTTCTCCAATAGTTCCGGAAATGGCAATCCCTAGAAAACGCGTGGCTGTGTCACTCGTGCATCTGTCGGTTCATTTTTGCTAAACACTTCTGCCCCCAAACACAAAATCGATGTGTACGACCTTGGCCATATCCTAAACCGGCAGACGTGACCTTGTGTTCTTACAGCGCAACCTTACAGGTGTATGTTTCCTGGGTGAAATTCTTCACCGTCACATGCTTCCCATTTTGGATAGATATAGAGAACTCTTTCAGCAGAACATTTCCAGGCCGTATGCAGGAGTAACAGTGGATTTTCTACAGAATGACATTAATATGCTGTTATGGCCATCAAGATGACCAGACAGAAGCCCCATTGAATATCATTGGTGCCGCAACACATGCACTACAGGAAGCATGGGGTATGGTGCCGCGTGCATCCAAATCAGAGACTCATACTGTTTATGCCAAGAAGCTGTAAGGCAGTGATTGATGGTCATGATGACTACACAGGGTACTAATTTTAATGCCCTTGTGCAACAATGTTTCGTTACGCAAATGCCTCTAGTGTCATCGGTCCATATCAAGAATATAAGGTGATATAAATATACAAACCTCCTCAGATCGTGTACCATGCTCATGTATTACTATCATCACGTGACATAAAGATGTGTCGTTATGGAATTTAAAGAATTCATCAATTGTTTCCATCATGCTCTTGGCTACTAGGTTGACCGGATAACCGACATGACCCATACAAAGAACTGGAAATGCTATACTCGCCAACTTCTTCTCAGATACTTCTCGTAAACATGCATTCACCATTAACGCCACCCTCTGTCAATAAGAAAGGGATAATAATAATTAGGAATATGTCTAATGGAACTAAATGAATAAATTAGCCAATATAAGTTTTCAAGATTGTATTACATCTACTTATTTTGTACCGTTACGTCAAATAAAATAAAAAATGCCCCATAAATGATTGTCACCTAGGTGTTATTGAACAACATCAGACAAAAGCCACCATCATTAAGTTTTTCTTTGATTGAAAAAAACCCAATGTTTTTGTATGATTTCTGTGTTTTGAAGAGCAATGGCAGAAGAAATTCCTCTCTAGCCATTGTTGCACTTGGAGCCGAAACTTGAGGGGTTTTAATAAGTGTGTCTATTTTTATTGTCCAAGTTGCCTTTTACGACACGCAGGAAATACGAAGGGCATATTCGTATCACCCCCTACACCCCAGGGGTAAAATGTGATCAGCTTCTAGTTCTTACTAGTGGAAACACAAACAAACCCCATTTTTTTTATCTTTTCTATTCATCTTTCTGATGAAAATATCACGGCCAAATTTTCTAAAAGGTGCAATTTATCACATGTGACAATAAAATAGCTTGTGACTTTTTTCCGGTTTAATATGTTGAGCAATGTAATCGTATAATAAAGGATTTATAATATTTTATATAATTTATTATTAGCTACTCATGTCATGGTAGTACGAAAATCGATTATTTCTCGTGTCATGGTAGTACGAAAATCGTTTATTTCTCGTGTCATGGTAGTACGAAAATCATATATTTCTTGTGTCATGGTAGTACGAAAATCGTTTATTTCTCGTGTCATGGTAGTACGAAAATCGTTTATTTCTCGTGTCATGTTAGTACAAAAATCGTTTATTTCTCGTGTCCTATATATAACTGGTAGAGCGAAATTGTCACTCATTTCACTAGTTATACTTACTATTATTGGGGATGAAGAGTCAAATCTGTATGGTGGAACATTCAATTCAATTTTATATTGAAATGGTTTATCCGAAACTTTTACTGTTTTAATATCATATCTGTGTGGAAGTGTCTGACTCTCTACTACATCAACAATTACATCAACCTTTAAATATATGAAAAACAATCAATTAAAATTCATTTCTTTAAGCTTCAGTCAGTTATTTAAGCATTACAGGGAAATGGGCTTACACATTGAAAATGATACGAAATTGAGGCCCAACTCCCAACTTCCACACATTGGGTTCGGAGCAGAACAGTAGGACGTTAAACCCCATTTCATTTCATTTCATTTCATTTCCACACATTGGTTCATCGGGATTTTCCGACGTGGTTTCCCCTTGGTGCAGTACGGGATGGGGGGGGGGGGCTGTCAAGGACGGCTATCCAGTACAATTTCCCTCATAACGCACTGTATGGCATATGTCTGTCTTCATTAGCTCAGTCGGAACAGAACAGTAGGACGTTAAACCCCTTTTCATTTCATTTCCACACTTGGTGGATCTACGTACGCCTGTGGCTGCTACTACTTACTACATAGAATAGCCCATTCTTTTAGTGTGAATAACTACTGTACAACAACTCGATGTCCTGGTAATATCCTATGTAGAATTAGGAGAGGTGTATGGTTTTGTATTACCTCTGTCATGGAACTACTCCAATGAAGAACATAAGCGTCGCTATCCAAATGTATGTCCGCATCTGCTTTGACATATCATGTTTCATTTGCTTTGCACAAAAGAGACCAACAAATTACCAAATAAAAATAACAGTAAAGTCAGACGGGTATTCGTAGTAATAAAGTTGGAATATAAAGTACAAATTGTTATATTTAATTTCATATTTCGAATGATGTTCTCAGATTCTTGAATTATGGCACCTAGTGAGTGATTCCATGAGAACCATACATAACACCAAAATAAAAATATTCATTTATGACTTCTTAATTTATAACACTGTATAAATACATAGATGATGTTGTATATCTTCTTGGGGATCACGTGGCTAAGTGGGTAAGACGCTGGCTCGCTAACCTGGAGGTCGGGTGTTCGATCCCTGCATTGGCCGAGAAAGTTCATCCAGATTTTCCGACTTGGTTCCCCCGTGTCAGTAATGCAGGACGGAGGGCCTGACAAGGACAGCTGTCTAGTCCTTCGGATCATACGAAAAACCGAGGTCCCGTGTATACATTGGAATGCACGTAAAAGATCCCTTGGCAGTTGGAATTCGATATAAGAGTAGGTGATAGTGCCGCTGCCCGGACAAAATTTCCCTCATAGCACACTGTATGGCGTATGCCCGTCTTCATTAGCCCAGTATAGGAGCATAACAGTAGGACGTTAAACCCCATTTCATTTCATTTCGAATGTATCTTAAAGTATTAGAACAAAATAATCACTTACTTACGTTTTGATTATTTATCTGACCAATTTTCATTTCAATATAATGTCCTTTACACGGCTGATGATGTTGTACATCTTCCAATGTATCTTAAAGTATTAAAATTAAATAATCACTCTTACTCATCTTTTGATTGTTTATCTGACCAACTTTCATTTCAATATAATGTCCTTAGCGAAAAAAAAAAATAGTATAAACATTGGAACAATCCCAAACTAACAACTCTAATGGTGCAACTGTTTAACAAGCATCCTCTTGTCGTTATTAAGAACAAGGTAAACAATAAAAGAAACGTTGAACCATTAAAGTTGCTAGTGATTGTATGTCAATACTACAACTACTATAATACCGTGTCTCTACTGAATATTTCACAGATTGGGTACGAGCAGGAAATTAGAATAAGTTCTATTCTAAACATCTTGTAGACCAGGAGCCCAGTGGGTTAACCTAGCTGAAAAGTGTACCAATTTTCTCCTGTATCACATCAATGCATGTATATCTGGCATCATCAGAATGTAAGTCTGTCGGGTTTCTGGTGGTGGGTGTGGTATTCAACGCCCAAATTGCTATACCCCCCAACTAGGTTAGATTAGCTCAAAAGTGTACCACATGAAAATCGTACAGCAGTGTACCGTACATCTTCAGGTAATACAAAAACACTCTGACAGACATTTCTAGTGGTGGGTTACTCCTGACAGAGCTATGTAATTGCAAGACATTTGTAGTGGTGGAGTATCCTTGACAAGAGTTATCTAATTTCCAGACCACAGCTAGGCTAGATTAGCTGAAATCTGTACCACCTAAAACAGCTCTGGAGTTGTTCAGCAACACGACAAGAATCATGAATGACCACTGCCAGACAATTTGTGCGGTGGGTAACCCCTAACAGACACACCCAAAAATGCCACGTCCACAACTAGGCTAGATTAGCGGGCACTGTTCCCGTGTTTTAAAAAATTAAAAATACTCCACCACTACAAATGTCTGACAATTACATAGCTCTGTCGGGGGTACCCCACCACTAGAAATGTCTGTCAGCATGTTTTTGTAATACCTGAAGATGTACGGTACATTGCTGTATGATTTTCACATGGTAAACTTTTGAGCTAATCTAACCTAGTTGGGGGGCATTGCATTTTGGGCGTGGAATACCACACCCGCCACCAGAAACCCAGCAGACGTACATTCTGATGATACCAGATATACATGTATTGATACCATATAGGAGACAAATGGTACACTTTTCAGCTAGGTTAACCCCCTTGGCTCCCGCTCTATTATTCAGTATTATAAAGAGGGATCACCATTATCTGATCATATTTATTTTTCTGCTCTCTTTGGATGTTTGTAAACACACGTGTAACTAAATATAAACATAATATTTTAGAGTCTTGTTTGATAGCGCTACTCATACTCTGCTTTAAGTGAATATTAATGTTGGAAATCCCACCTTGACCTCCATATTTCAATTCACCCTTCTCAAACAGGGTTTGCAAGAGATAACAATTAACCTGTGGCCTTGATTTCATTGGTAAATAAATCCTTTTGGTCCAATCTTTACAAGCTTTTAAGAAAAAAGAAACTGTTTCTTTCTTCGTGGTTTTATCCATTAGTAATATTAAAGTTTTGTATTTTCCTTTCTTAACACGGTCTTCTAAATGTTGCTTTGAAGAATCTGGCATGATCCTGTAATGTGCCAAATTATCACTACTTTGCTGCCCAGATTCATCTGTAAGAAAGAAAATCAGAAATTGAATACTGAATATAGTCAATAAACAGGACTCAATATTGAATGTGATGCTCTCTACCAAACAATTTGTTTAAGGGTATGCCCTTTCAGTTAGTCATTGATCAAATTGACGTCCCATATAGTTCATACCCCCTTATTTATCGTTTGCCAGCAGTCCACTTTTCAAAACAAATTTTGAAGAAACACTTTCAAACTGAACTTTGTGGATATGTTGCTCATGCAGTAATCATTCAGACTTGTCCTGGAGCAGCCAAACACTTCTGAATAGTTTATCTCTGCACCTTTCTTTGATTTATTCATGCAGCCTTCAAAATTCATCTGCTTTGTATGCACTGTTTATGGCAGAACCATTCTTTAGATAATCTAAATTACGCCCTGTGGGTCCCAGAGAAAGATAGCCAGGCAGTTTCGGTCTGATTTTCACAGAATTCCAATTCGATCATCATTAGAGTGTAACGCGAGTTTTAAAATCGGATATAAATTGTGACCTCTAGAGGGCCAACAACCTTGGAATTCCATTCCTTTACACTATTTGCGTACAAGGAGTGGCCATTTTGTCGAGCAGTTTCAGTAAGATTTTCATGATATTCGAACTCAACCATCATTAGGATTTAACGGCGATATCTAACGGCTATTCTAAATCGGATAAAAATGGTGGCTTCTAGAGAAATGAAATGGGGTTTAACGTCCTACTGTTTTGCTCTGAACTGGGCTAATGAAGACGGGCATACGCCATACAGTGTGCTATGAGGGAAATTTTGCCCGGACAGCGGCACTACGGCCTACTCTTATATCGAATTCCAACTGCCAAGGGATCTTTTACGTGCACGCCAATGTGTACACGGGACCTCGGTTTTCCGTCTCATCCGAATGACTAGACAGCTGTCCTTGTCAGGCCCTCCGTGGCTTCTAGAGGGACCACAAGCAAAAAACGTGATTTTTCGTATAATCAGAGGCCATAATCCATGAAGTTACGATCCGATACATGTCAATATCGACAGGAACCACTCTAAAGTCTATCCACATGTGTTTTTTTTAAAACATACATTATACAAGAACTAAATCTGCATATTGCAGATCTTCCTTTAGACCTGAAATGTTTTCTAAATTATTAATTAGACATTAATTAAGTGACCAAAGCCATAATCAATACTCGATAGCATCGGATTTCTCCGATATTAAATAGATTAGAACGGTTCAGCCATATTTTGATAAAATTTAAAAATAGAGGAGCAAGACTTGGTTTCGAACAACCAGTCTGGTGGTTGAAATTATTGCACACGTCTTGTCAAACCTTCAAAGGCTAATATCTTCGCTCGCAATAGAGTAATTAGAATGAAATTTTCAAATTATTCATTTTATCTATTATAGCAAGAACAGTCAGCTCTTAATCTAAATCTTTAATGTATCCTTAAAAAATAAAACAACATCGTTTTGTTCATCACATATCCAGGAAGCGAAAATTCTGGTGTCCGTTGAATGCAGAACTAAAACAATTGGTCCGGCGGCTCAAGGTGGGGGGGGGGGGATATGGCCAACCAGGGCGTGAATTATTGAGATCAAGTTTTTCTCGACCAGTTTTTTTGCGTAGATTCCGAATCTGGGTAGTGATCAGGCGTGGGTTGTTTTTTTTTTGGGGGGGGGGGGGGCGTTTTCGAGGTCCAAAGTCTACAATTGGGGGGAAATGTGATTATGTCGACATAAATGATGATCATGTTATATATTACTAAAACATAAATTTCTAGGGAATGTACATCTCTAAATAAGTGCATATGATGCACCTGGACAACTGTTTTGATTTGTGGGGTTAGGGGTTCCTGTTGTGCCTGTGAGGAAGAGTAGGGGGGGGGTAATATTTGCGGAAAATGTTGATATTCACTTGATATAAATGATGATTCCCTTAGAGCTTGGTAAAAACATTACTTTTACATGCCGCTGCCCACCTCTAAATATGTGTGGGGTGGAGGGGGGGGGCAAAATGTATTTTGTGAAATAGAAACCAAATGACTGGTTTAGAAAAAAAAAATTGTACCATGTACCATGTACCTTTCTTTATTACCACCTTGCAGTAGTTGTCTTTTGCTACATATTAAACGCAGCATTTATTTTGCAAGAATTTGGAGACGATCTGCAAAACCAATGATAGAACAAGAAGACCTTGCTGGAATGAAGATTTACAATGTGAATGGGTCAATTCTGAACCAAATGGTTTCTGTCCCCAAATACATGTTGCCCTCACCCTGACCCATTTCCTCCCCCACCCACAAACACACAATAGGAAGCTTATACACATTTAGAAATGTTTCATCAAGGTCTAAAAAGTAGGTTGCCAGGCAAAGAAACATACGCCCACAGCAGCTAAGTCGTCCGGACAGGCAACAAGAGTTGTCGCATATTTTTTCTATTGTCGTTAATGAAACATTTATAATACACTAAAATCTGATTAAGAGTAACAACTCATTAAGTAATTATCATAAAATCATTAGAATTTGTTTGGCTTTTAGTTCCATCCCATGCTAGCGTTTTATATACGAAACATTTAATATCATGGATTTAGCTGTTCAAGTTAACAAAATTTCATTGAAAATCAATATACTTCTTCGTCTCAAGATCCTTAAACCCTGTTTATCAATCTAAAGTCAATCGGATGATAACTTTGGTCTCTCGGGCATCCACAAGATTTTTCAAAGTGATCAAGGGCCATAACTCTGGAAATAATTATCTGAAATCACTGACAGTCACTGGGCTTCTGCGTCTCACGTTTGTGTGGAGTGAATGTTAAACCCCATTTCTCTCTCTCTCTCTCTCTCTCTGCGTCTCACGACCTTAAACACTGTGTATAAATCTGAAGTCAACTGGATATTAACTTTAGCCTCTAGAGCGTCAACAAGATATTTCAAGGTGATTAAGGATCAGTAAATATCGGATATCGTTGAAAATCAAAAGAATTCTTTGTCTCATGGCCTGGAAAATCGCATCGTGTATAAATCTAGAGTCAATCGGATATTAACTTTAGTATCTAGAGCGTTCACATGATATTTCAAAGTGATCAAGGGCAATGACTCTGGCAGTAATTATCTGATATCGTCGAAAATCAATAGGCTTCAATATCTCATGACCTTAAACACTGTGTATAAATTTAAAGTCAATCGGATATTAACTTTTGCCTCTAGAGCGGCCACAAGATATTTCAAAGTGATCAAAGGCCATGACTCTGGTAGTAATTACCAGATATCGTTGATAATCAATAGGATTCTTCATCTCATGACCTTAAACACTGTGTATAAATTTAAAGTCAATCGGATATTAACTTTAGCCTCTAGTGAGTCCACACGATTTTTCAAAGTGATCAAGGGCCATAACTCTGGAAGTAATTATCGTAAATCGCTGAAAATCAATAGGCTTCTCATTAATATAAACAACATATATCAATTCCAAAACAATCAGATGATAAATGTAGTCTGTAGAGTGTTCACTGGAAATTGTGGACGACGGACGGACGAGGGCGACGGCAATATAAATATAAATTGTCTGTGTCAAAATTGGACGATTTCGATACATAACTGTCATCAGTGAACGGGGGCTATAAGAGGCTGGATTATTCTGTTTATATGTAATGCTAGATCCAAGTGTATGCTCACGATAATTGTATTTAGTGACGTAACAATTGCCTTCCTATTTTTAAAAAAAACAAAGATCGCTTGTGCTATCATTTCCGTTACTCGTGTGCCAAGTTTTGAATACAAACATTTTTGATATAAAATGAAACTTACAGCTTTGATCCGTCTGGTTTTGTTCCAACACCAAAATATCAGATTGGTCTGGCAGTGTTCTATGATCACCAATAATCAATGGAATTTCAATATGTCCAGCTTCCTTAGACTTATAAATCCAATTTGCAAAGTGAATCTCCTTTGTACCAGTAACCAATGGTTGGATGTCTATAAAACAGCTATACGTCTTCTGTAGTTCATATAGTAGGTGATCTCCTGCTTTACAGATGTATTCACATTCTAATGGACAGTTGATTCCAATATGATACAAACCGAAATATTCTGTGCCCTCCGCCGCGCGATTAGTTTCTATTTGTTGATGACCTTCTGTGCAAACACCCACTTTTCGTTTGTATTGACGTAGATTCACCAATACTCGTTCAACAATATCTTTTAGTCCAACTATGACGATGTGCGGTTCTCTCCTCTCGACAACTATATTATTTTCAATAACATTCATGGAGTCAAACCAGCTGTCTGATAGATTATATTGTTTTAGTGACACCATTTTGATATCCAGATATTTTCGAATGGCAACATTCAGGGCAAAGAACTCCTGGTTATTCAAAGGTGGTTTAATACTACCATCTTCATTAAAGCTTAACCCCTTGTTGTAACCGCTCTGTGAAAGAAAGTGTAAAATTTTATCCTGTATTTGTTTTCGTTTATTAAACAGTTCTAAATAGATCAAATCTATTCGTTTTAAATCTTCCCCATCTGTATTCAAATAATTCGTCGTAACTGGAATGGTTGATGAAAGTCGATTCTTATCTTCTTTATTTGTTTCATCACCAATATCCTTTTTTTGGTCCAACGATGTATCTTCTCCATTTTCCAGATGATTAACAACAACCCAGTTTTCAGGCTCTGGTCCTGCTCCACCAGTTGCTTCTAGTAATGTTGTACTTGGAACATTGGTATCATTACGCATAGTCATATCCTCTGGTTCTGTGTTTAAACTAGACGGGGACTTCCTTTGGGAATGCCCATCCTCTGATTCTGAGTTTGAACTAAGAGTCGACTGCTCTTCGGAATCATTACCGTGTATTGTAATATTGGTATTAACGTGTGATTCGTTACTCGTACCACGATATATCATAGTGCAACCACCGTTATCAAAGTTATGACATATATCAAGTATAAAATCAGTATTATTAGGACTAGTAATTATACTGATTTCGTTTCCGTTGAGTATGTACCTTGTTTGGTTCACATTGTCTAGTAATAACATCAAATCCAGTTTCTGCTTCTCGCTGCAACCTTCCAAGATCACTGCCCATTCTATGTAATCATCTTTACAATAAACTATATCTACCTTACTGCCTCTGTTAGCTATTACAGTAAACAGGAAATCACTATCTTTAAATATCTTGTAGGCTTGTCGTGAGACAGTACATTCCTCACAGTACCCAGAAAACTTATTTAATAATTGAATGATGTTGTCTTTGAACTTCTCCCGTCTTATGCCGTCTACCGTGGCCGAAATCAGACGACAAGGAGGTTTGGGTATGTCAACCAGAACACATTTAAATTGCGACAGCCCATTTACAAGTTGTTGCTTAAGGTGTTTGACTTTATATACCTGTGCAAACCGATACATTGTTATATCTAGTACATTTTGGAATATGATTACATTAGATAGTTTGGTTGTAATAGTGATACGACATCTTACATCAGGATCTGATGAACCTGATCTCACAACGTGTGTCTTATTCCAAGTCTGTGGATTGTGGGACATCTTGAACCTGATGATAAACATAAAGATTTATTTAGAGTGTATTTAAAGTAGGATATTTCAAAAAGTGTTTGTAGGACAATATGTCCTACAATGTGAATGTTTGACAACTTCAGACCAGGGCCGTATGTAGGATTTTAAAACTGGAGGTGCAGCAGAGTACGGTGGGCGCCATAGCTTCCACCTAAGTGATATAAGAAAGTTTGGATCAGGGCAAACGGACCCATTGGCGTGTGGGCGCCCTTAAACCGACCGACTGATCAGTGCCTTAAGAGCATCACTGTGATCATAATCAAGTGTATTATTTTATAATTGAAAGATTGTCAAATTATTTTTTTGTGGGGACGCCATTTCCCGGGGCGCCTTATTTTTCTGGGGGTGCAATGTACCCCCGGCACCCCCGCTAGGTACGACCCTGATTCACACCAAAATGTAGTTCCATCCCTCAAATAGTGTAAACATAGTATGAGTTTTAAAAAAATAATGTCAAATTATCTTTCGCCGGACTGAGAAGTCACATTACACTCACCCGAGTTTACATAAACAAATGGTTAATATGTCCCCCGTCTTGCACAAAGCGTCTTTTATCCACCAAGAAATCAAATTTCTTATTGGTTTATTTTTGCACATTTTTCCCGAATTGTATCCGTCAGTTCATTTTCCGTAAATGTTTTCGCGCGTCCTTTATTAACCATTTCAGGAAGACTACACTAGATGGCGTAAAACATCGGATTCAAATCCAGGACTGTGGAGGTCACATATATTTTTATCTTAAAGTTGTGGGTGGAATAATGGATACGTATCTGCAGCAAGACTGAACAATTATTATGTGTTTCAATTGGATAGGACTGCAAGTCACATAATCAGGCTGGCTTGGATCTATCTAGAGGGACCACCCAGACTTCATAAAAAAAGATAATATATGAAAAATTAATAGAATATCAATTTAATATCCATATAAAACAATCTGTCCAAGACTTTATACAAAAAGATTAGAGAACGCCGCAGTCCCATCAATTGAATTTGGCAGATTTCACTATCTGGAACAGTCTCTCAGATAAGATTTATGGAAGGACGCACGAAACAATGAGCTTAGACTTATACGACTTCTAGTTGGAAAATACGCCCGAATCTGCACCAACAGAACTACCGAGAACGGGCACGCGCCATAAAGTGAGCTATGAGGGAAATTTTGCAATGACAGCAATTGAATTCCAACTGGGCGTAGCTCTTTGACGTGTTCGCGGGACCTTGTTTTCGTCCCTTCCGAATGACTAGACGCTGTGCCTTGTCTGGCTCTCCTCCATGCACCCCTGGCAAGGAGAAAACACGTTGGAAAATCCCGGTCAACACCAGAGTCGAACCCCGGACCTCCTAGTTAGTGAGCCAGCGCCTTATTTACTCAGTATGAACATCAACGACTTTACATTCCCCTTGTGTGCCTAAAAAATTAAATAATAGAAGATGTCGTTGTCTTATTGCTACTACTGGGTCATTCCAGTACATTAGTCCAGTAACAAGGATGTTTACCGGTGAAATAAAGTCAAACAGTAATTTCCGACCAAACTTCATCATGCAAGGAAAGTCATTCCTCCTCTCTTAGTCCTCCAGGATAACATTTTTCTAACAGCCATGCATAAATTTGTACCGAAAGAAAAAAAACCTTGAGGGTTGGAGTTGATTCAGGCCTTAAGAGACCATAGCCACGGAGAAGGATTTTTCGTTTCATACAGATAAGAGATAAGATATTCATCACATACATTACTCTTTTCGGGCAGCATATAAATAAATAACTATGCAATAATATCAGAAGGAAATACGAAATTCAGAAATGTGTTACATAATTGGTGATTATTTGGAAAAAAGTCAATTAACACCTTCCATACATGAAATGAAATGAAATGAAATAGGGTTTAACGTCCTACTGTTCTGTTCCTAATCTGGGCTAATGAAGACGGGCATACGCCATACAGTGTGCTATGAGGGAAATTTTGCCCGGGCAGTGGCACTATCGCCTACTCTTATATCGAATTCCAACTGCCAAGGGATCTTTTACGTGCATTCCAATGTATACACGGGACCTCGGTTTTTCGTCTCATCCGAAGGACTAGACAGCTGTCCTTGTCAGGCCCTCCGTCCTGCATCACTGACAATCGGGAACCACGCTGGAAAATCTGGATGAACTTTCTCGGCCAATGCAGGGATCGAACACCCGACCTCCAGGCTAGCGAGCCAGCGTCTTACCCACTTAGCCACGTGATCCCCTTCCATACATGAAATTGAAATTGATTAAAACATCCATATCATATTTTGACCCACAGATTGGCGACATTGGCACTGGCCTGACACGGCCAACGGCTACGAGGAAGTCAATAGTTACTACCCCTAGCCAGAGTTATATGCTGAAATATAGCCAGCTGCATAATCTCGTCGATTATCCTTTGTCTAGAAGGGGGACTATAAGCAGGAATCTAAAGGAGATTATTCAGTCGTGGCGAGGACGTCTGAGTTAAGACCTGAGAGCGGCCCTGTAAGTTACTTGGGAACTGGCACTCCACGGTGCCAAGCCAAGCCAGAGGCCGATCCAAGCCCCCCCCCCCCCCCCCAAGTTTCGACAGTGCCCTATTTTACTGCTGAAAGTGCCTTTTTCTCAGACCCAAATATGTCCGTTCCCAACCCGTTGCAGCCCAAACGTAAGCATCATTTTGACTACATGCGCCACCAGTGCTACCGTGGAAAGGTCGAATTCTGCGCTCCGTTTTGTGAAGTCTGAGGAGCGATTCAATGCCCTCGTACTTTTTTTATGTACATCGGGATATAAAACTCGATTACCAAAAAATAATCGACAGTTATGCCTCGTAAATCCTATGAGCGTTTCTTCGACTTGATTCATTAAATCTAAAGTACCAACTTTATATATTCCGTATTTAAGGAGAGAAATTTACCATTTTAACAATAACTCGCTCGCCTTGACTGGCTTTTTTGCTCGATTTTAAGGCTCTTCTTCAACGATTTCCGAACGTTTACTTAGACGAAAATATCAGCCAAATAGCTCTTGGAATGGCTACAGATGCAAGGAAATGATGGATAATTTTCTTGGGACACCCCCCCCCCTCCTCGAAAAAAACCTCCCCTCAGCGGCGTGCCCCGCCTCCGCGGTCACTGCCCTCATTTTGCGGCTCCCCTGTTTTCAAAATTCCTAGATCCGCCCCTGCAAGCTATGGCTCCCTTAACACAAGCTAATTACCGAGTCTTTTACTATAAGAAGTTTTGTTTGAAGAAAAATAAAAGTTCAACCAATATGAAGTTACACCAGTCTTGTCGTCAAGAACCTAATTTAAAGAACGAACATATTAATTGGTGCCGTCTGACCAGAACAACGTAGAAGTCAAGTTATCCACTAGACGATCAAAAGGTAAGTCTTTTTCTGATCCTACCATGTCCACGTGTAATACTGACACTAGTGCTATGTTTAATAGTTTAACTGGGGAAATCAGCAGTTTATCATCAACGCTTTAATATCATGACGTAGCTACTCAAATTTCTCAACCGTTTTGGGGATCACGTGGCTAAGTGGGTAAGACGCTGGCTCGCTAGCCTGGAGGTCGGGTGTTCGATCCCTGTATTGGCCAAGAAAGTTCATCAGAATTTTCTGGCGTGGTTTCCCCTTGTCAGTGATGCAGGACGGAGGGCCTGACAAGGACATCTGTCTAGTCGTTCGGATGGGACGGAAACCGAGGTCTTGTATACTAATTGGCGTGCACGTAAAAGATCCCTTGGCAGTTGGAATTCGATATAAAAGCAGGCCGTAGCGCCGCTGCCCGGGCAAAATTTCCCTCATAGCACACTGTATGGCGTATGCCCGTCTTCATTAGCCCAGTTTAGGAGCAAAACAGTAGGACGTTAAACCCCATTTCATTTCTCAACCATTTTTTTTATTATTAATTGGATCAGAATTATTCAGTATGACCTCTCAAATGATGCCCCTAATTCAAAAGTTAAATATATTGCCTATCTAGCTAGTAGTGGAACAGTAATTAAACATACATTGTGCAAGAGCTAAATCTGCCTATTGCAGGTCTTTCTTTAGGCCTGAAACTTTATCTAAATTATTAATTAGACATTAATAAACTTATCCAGACCATAATCAACTCTGCGATATTTATTGGATTATGATCCGATTTGCTGCTCAACTTTCATTCATGATTTAATCATGAAATGGATAATCGAGACTATGTTTTTATCGTACCGACTTTAGTAATGATGATCTAGAATAGGCCCAAATTTCATTCGCTTAATTCTCGGTTCATAGTGGATCGATTGTCAGCTCTTTATCTAATCTCCCATAATGTAATCTTTAAATATTTGTAGGGAACTGACAAAAAATATTTTGTTTGTCGATTTTAAAAAAAAATATGCAAATTATAATTGTTTGTTTTTGAACACATATTTTGGCTTTAAAATTAGTAGTAACGAAGTATTAACAGGTTTATAATAAGAAGTAAAATGTTTTGTGACTGTTTAAATGGAATTGAGTTAACAGTATACTAATTTGAAGATATAACTCATAAACATTCAGAGGTCGGGTGTTCGATCCCTGCATTGGCCGAGAAAGTTCACCCAGTTTTTACGGCATGGTTCTCCCTTGTCAGTGATCCAGGACGGACGGCCTAACAAGGACAGCTGTCTAGTCATTCGTATGAGACGAAAAACCGAGGTCCCATGTACACATTGGCGTGCACGTAACAGATCTAGACCACTTGACAGTTGGAATTCGATATAAGAGTAGGCCGTAGTGCCGCTGTCCGGGCAAAATTTCCCTCATAGCACACTGTATGGCGTATGCCCGTCTTCATTAGCCCAGTTCGGATCAAAAGAGTAGGACGTTAAACTCCCTTTTCATTTCATTTCATTTCATAAACATTCACAAAGTATTAAGAGTTTTATCTCTTATATGTTTTTGTTTCGTCTATATATATTTTGGCCCGATATTTACGGGATGCCTTGCCAAACTTGGATGTTCTTGATCTAATATATAATTGTAGCATCGGCCCTGTGGATATCAGAGGTGGAATCTCGAGTCCGGCTAGAGTCACATCACAGACCTGACTTGCAACTCGACTTAATTTTTTTAATGTCTTGTGACACAAGGGGGTGTGGGCGAAATCGCCACCTGAGAGAGCAATTTTTGAGACCAGGTTTTACTAGAGCAGTTTTTTGCATAGATTTCTATTCTTGGTGGTGGGGATTAGGATGGGGTGGGGGCGATGCCTAAAATGGCGGTGAAGTCGATTAGTAGGAAACATTCATTTCTTGCACTAAATACTTCTATAAGATGTCCCTATGGGCGTTGTATTTTGGACCCCAATACCCCCATTCCTCATCCTTTAAAGAATTCCTGGTCAGTTTAACCCATTGCATCCTATCTGCAAAGCAAAAACAACACCGAATTATTTAGTGCAAGAAATGAATGTTTTCTACTAATCATTTTTGATATCGACTTTACCGCCATTTTTAGGCATTGCCCCCCCCCCCCCCCCCCCCCCCGCCACATACTCACTTCTTTCCCCACCAAACCCACACAAAGAAAAACAAAAGATATTAAATATACTTTAGACACGTGGCAGTGCTATAAATTAATGTTTAACTAATCTATAATCTATTTTACATTTTCCACACCTACAGCCCCCTCCTTCCCCGGGCCCGCACACAAACCAAAACCGTCATCCAGGAGGGTCTTATATTCTTATCTAAGAGTAGAGTGCTATAAAACGATCATCAACATTTCACCCAATTAAAGACATTGGACCCACATCACCCCAATCCTCAACCCCGTATCGCGTAAAAGCTCTCTCCTATACATGGGCGCCACCCAGAATAGAAATCAACGCAAAAAACTGCTCTAGTAAAACTTGGTCTCAAAAATTCTCCCCACGGTTAGTGATTGCACCCCCACCCCCTTGAACCACCAGACTATAAAAATTTAAGTCGAGCTGAAATTCTCACTCGAGATTCCACCTCTGATGTACACAGGGCCGGTGCCACATTTATATATCAGATAAACAAAATCCAAGTTTGGCAAGTAGATGGCCCTGCTTATGCCACTATTATGAGTTTCCAAAATTATTTTGTACGAGAAATTCCCTTTCTTTATAATGTAGAGGAAAGACACAGTTAATTCATTGCAGTTTTTCTTGTGATTTTAAAACAGAATTAGTTAAAATATGTTACCTGTGTTGTTGAAGAAATAATTCACACAGTTTTCATAATGGCTGACAATATCTTCCTTATGGAAATCTAAACCGAAACTAGATGTGTACGTCACCGTTAGATATAGACTAATAGACTACACACAATGTCACAGCCAATGTAACAAAAATTCCTTAATGAAATATAAAACGAAACTAGATGTGTATTCCTGACCGTTATAATATCGATAGCCTACGCTAGCTAGTTTACACAATGTCACATTGACAGTGGCCGATAAATAGCTTCCTTGAAGATATCTAAACCGAAACTAGGTTTATGAGTCACAACTAAATATATACTGATATCTGATTACAGCTGTTGTAAATGGAGGAGGGGGGGGGGCATTCACTGAATCGCAGACTGGCAGACAATGACTTTGCTTCGGTTTGCATGGGATGTTGTGCCGTGAAGGGGTATTAGTTGTTGTTTTTTAGGGCTGTTTTGCAGAGTAGCAGAGAATACCATTTTAGGTCAGCATAGGCCTACAACATGCCTAAGTATAATATAAAAGTACAAAATTTATGGGAAATATTCTGGGAAATATTTAATTCTGGAGAATTGCCTTTGACAGGTAAGTCATCACGTGATAGCCATGATTGGCTTTGATTGGCGTAGCTTGACACATTGACATATAGTGTAGTTTCGGTTTCTGTGCTACATTACATTAAGACGAATCTTTCAGTGACAACATAATTCTCGAAGATATATTAAACGAACATTATCCGAAAATAAGAATATTATTTAGAACTTAGGTAAGTAAATTGTACAGTACGATAATATAGCTAAAATAAAGAAGCTTTTAAATATTTGATTAGTTTAAGACTGAATGTTATGATGGGTGTTACAGCTAGGGCCTACACGGAAATATTTCCTGAATGGCGATTAGTAATGGTATGTATTTATAAGTTAACACAGTAGGAGGTTTTGGTATATTTTATGGTATATTTATATCTTCATATATATTAGAACTGTTCGTGTGCCAATTGTGCGTCATCTGTTAACCCTTGTGTAAACACGTCGCACGAAAGCAGTCGGAAACAAGCGGTAATCTATTCTAAGACCCAAACCATAAAAAGGGTTTTTGTTTGAATAATTTTATTTAAATACTGTGAAACTATAGCTTCATATAAAAAGGTTGAAGAATAATCAATCATATTAGGAAAAATATTTTGCCTAATAACACTGAAAATATGTATTACTAGAAGCATAGGCGTACGGGCCCGATGACATATAGGGGGGCAGAACCCGAAATGGCCGAAAAATTTCGGGTTTACAGACTGCGGCGCCGGTCTTCCTCGAGAGGCGAAGAAACGAAGCTTACCTTGCATGGACCCCCCCCCCCCCCGCAAGAAAAATTTGGAATGTTTGACGGCTGCAAACACCTTTTCCTGGTATTTCAGCCCGTGAACAAAGCAACTTCAAAGTGGTCTAATAATATAGCCTAATTAAGGTGGCTGACTCGAATTCCAATCAATCGTTCACAGTCCACGGAGGCGGGATTGTTGGGAGAAAATTTTGAAAATTTAACTGCTATTCCAGCCTGTGAATACAGCAACTTCAATTTGGTCCAATATAGCCTACCTGGCTGACCCGAATTCCAAACAACCAATGGCCCCACCCATCCTCCCGGAGAACATTTCGAAAATTTAACCACCGCAAATGCGTTTTCTGCTATTCTAGCCCGTGTAAGCAACTCCAAAAGTATCCAATGTTTTTGTAACCGAAATCGCACTCTGAATTCCAACCACCCAATCAGACTGTTGCAGCTGCATTCACAAATAATAATCGATGCCCGAAAAATGTCGCACAAATTAGAGTGGCTCCAGACAAAATGTTTTAATCCATAGTCAACTCAGTACAAATTCGTGGTATTCAATTAAAAGAAAAGTAAAATTAGTGTTTTTTTAGGGCTCTATGACAGTTAGGGAAGCAAAATTAGAAATGCCCGAAAAATTTCAGGTTTACAGACAGCGGCGAAGGTTTTCTTCGAAAGACGAAAAAGCGGAACTGACCTTGTATGGACCGCTCAAGAAATTTTTTGAATATTTGACGGCCGCAAACGCGTTTTACTGCTATTCCAGCCCGTAAAATTAGTGTTTTATTAGATTTCGGGCACTTTATTTTGCCAAGTAGATGAAATAAATTTTTTTTTTCTCTTTACCCGTCTGCCCGAAAAGTCAGCTTGCCTGAAAGTTAGGGGGGCAGGTGACCCCCCTGGCCCCCTGGCTCGTACGCCTATGACTAGAAGAATGCCTGGCTTCGCTCGGGGTCGAAACTCGCCCGGGGGGGGGGGGGGTCATAACTCCGAAACCGGAAGTGGTAGGCCATCGCCACCAGACCTATGTTATTACCCCAATACACCAAAGTTAATTCGGGACAGTTCTAGTGTAGCAGCCAACCCTGAAAGACAGACAGGCAGGCAGACAAACAAACGACAGTAGTAACAAATATTAGTATAGATAAGGTATTTTGAAGCCACCATAAATCTGCAAATCACTTAATTGTTTCATTCCCATGTGGAATCGTATGTTGTTGGCAAGATTGGTAGATTTGGGTCAAATAGCACATATTAATGTAATAAGAGTGTAGATAAACTGATTTACATTCATTTTTAACAAAATACGTGGGCTGTCCAAATTTTTTAATTGTCGGAGGGTTATTATCTTCCAAATAACAGTCTCGCATTGTACGTCACTACTCCCGCCTGTGGACGCTTTCGAGGCTAAAGTTAATATCCGATTGCGTTTAAATATATACGCCGTGTTAAGGTCAAGAGACAAACGAAACTATATGCGGCTACTCTTGTGGACACTGCCAACGACATAGGTTTCGTTGCCTGGCAAACTATCTTTATTCATTCCAAAACAAACCAGTGGCTGCCAGGCAGGACACGCCCACATTTTCCAAGAGATGGATAGAGAACAAGCTAAAAACAAATGCTATTTTTTGTACAATCAGGGGCAATAATCCAGAAAGATATGGCCTGAAATGTGCAAATATCAAACGGGACTGAGATCTTTGGGTTATAAAGATATGTTTTAAGTTTGTGACAGTATTGGTTCTTTATATCAAGTTCTGGATGACAAGACTAGTTTAACATCTTAAAATACTTTTATTCTCGGCTTCTTCTAACATATTATATACAAAACTTAAAGGCTCCATAACTAGCTTACATTAGTTGGCCGTTGTCCGGTCTTAACTCCAAACCAGCGTGGCCTGGAGTTAACTACCAGACGTCGCCTAGCCTCCGACTGCTCTCATGTCCTGCCTGGACCTCTCTGCCCTTTTCGTTTGTTAATCAGGGTTTATAAACCATTCCAGACAAAGGAATCTTATTAGACATCTGGCTAATGTATCATATATAGTTTAACATTCGATACATGCTAATCAGACAAAGAAAGTTTAAATAAAACATGCCAGCAAGTTAACGTTTACATAATCATTACATAATCACATAGACCAAGGACTCCAGGCATGTCGATAACGAACAGGTGTCAAGTTGGCAGGAAGCGTCTTTAACATCAGATGATCTGATTATGTAACATACCTTCCCTTTTCTTTGAATAAAGTTATGAATTATATGAAATAACTTTTAAAGACTATTACAAAATTAAATATAAATGGAGTCGATGGTAACTACCCTAATTAATATATAAACAAAAATACGAAAAATAACTATAAGCTGATTAAAAGTTATATAAACAAAAAGAAAAAATGCAAATGGCAAAAGAATAAAACACTGGTTGAAAAGTAATAAGATACTGGTTGAAAAGTTCATACATATATACTACAGTGTTCATACACGCGCGACATTGAAATCACATAATATGTCGCAGATAATTTTACTGATCACACACACGAGTTCCTGGAATCGCATATATAATGAAAAATATTTGAATTTCCACACACGTGAGTTATTTGAATCACTAATAATTATAACAAAAAAAAAATACTGTAAAACTATAATATTCTAATGTTCGCACACAATCACTAATAATTATAAAAAAACAAAAAAAAACACTGTAACTATTCTAATGTTCGCACAAGTCAACTGTAGGGAGATACAAATTAATTATTTTTTTCCTTCCTTCATTCCGTCGTCTTCTTGTATAAGTTTCCCGTAATGGCAAGGAGTCGGTGTCTTCCGGTAGTCTTATCTTTTCCATACCGCCTGGACGGGACGGTGCGACATGTGCTATGAAGAGTATTATAACTGCCACCCATGTGAAGTTTTTTCATCTGTTTATCATATCATGGAGTGAACTTAATTAATAGTTAATCAAATTAGCAAGTGGAACAGACTTTAATTAGCTATCTAACGATATTTACATTATTATTTACATGGATAGAATTGAAATTAGGATGTCATATTGTTTTGTTTTTTTCTGAACACATATTTTACAATCTTTAATAAGATATTTTGAAAGAACGTATCAAAATTAATAACGGTTTATTTCTATAATTTTTGAAACACAACACAAAACAAGACAATACGGTCGCTCGTAATTCTGAGCACGACCCTCTCCTGGGGTTAAACCAATCCCACCTGACTGGGGTTTCACATAAAAATTTTCCCGTAACATATCGGGACCTCCCAATTTCATAGTATTGAGGTATCACAAAATAAAAAAAATAATAAAAATCTCTCCCGTACATATCGGGTCATCCCATTATTAATATTAGGGGTATCACAAAAAAAACTACCTCCCGTAAATATCGGGGCATCCCATATTAACATTAGGGGTATCACAAATAAAATTCTCTCCCGTAAATATCGGGGCATCCCATTAACATTTGGGGTAATAGACACATATAGACAAAACAACAACAAAAAAAACCTTAGAGATAAACGCGTTAATACTTTGTGAATGTTATTGGGTTAAATTCTAAATTACGATACTGTTAACCCAATTCTAGTTAAACAATCACAGAACATTTTACTTTTCGATATTAACCTGTTACTACTACTTTTAAATGCCAAAATATGTGTTCAAAAACAAACAATTATCATTTATAATCTTTTAAAAACAACATGACCTATTGTAAAACAAACAATATATATACAATTTTGTTTTAGTCATTTTCCTACAAATAGTTAAGGACTGTTCCACTACTAGCTTGAACGTTATATTAAATTAAGTAACTACACCATGATATTTAATAAAGCGTGATGATAAACTGCTGATTTCCCAGTTAAATTATAATACATTATAGCACAATGTCATTATTAACCGGCCATGGTAGGATTAGAAAAAGACTTACCCGTGTAGACTAATATCTGTGGCCTGTGGTCTTCTAGTGGTGGACTTCAAACGTTGCTCTGGTCAGCGGCGCCAATTTATATGTGACAGTATTGGTTCTTTATATCAAGTTCTGGATGACAAGACTAGTTTAACATCTTAAAATACTTTTATTCTCGGCTTCTTCTAACATATTATATACAAAACTTAAAGGCTCCATAACTAGCTTACATTAGTTGGCCGTTGTCCAGTCTTAACTCCAAACCAGCGTGGCCTGGAGTTAACTACCAGACGTCGCCTAGCCTCCGACTGCTCTCATGTCCTGCCTGGACCTCTCTGCCCTTTTCGTTTGTTAATCTGGGTTTATAAACCGTTCCAGACAAAGGAATCTTATTAGACATCTGGCTAATGTATCATATATAGTTTAACATTCGATACATGCTAATCAGACAAAGAAAGTTTAAATAAAACATGCCAGCAAGTTAACGTTTACATAATCATTACATAATCAC